GGAGGATCTACTTGTGGTGACGGCCCCTTATATTTATTTATTTATTTTACCGTAAATCCTCTAATAGAGGGGCCTGTATTTTACTCAAGCTCATCAAGCTCCAGGCCTTTATTGGAAGGAGGGCCAGCATTAGAGGCAGGCCTCAATTTCTATTTGAGCAAAATGAACTACTGGTTCGCTGGAGTTTTTGACAATTAAAATTGAGCCCACATTTTCAAAGTTAAACACATTTCTTTTAACAACAGTAGTTTCTGCTTCAGCCCTCTCCCCCCTCCCCCTGTGCAGCGGCTGCAAACTCACTGATGCGCCTGCAGCCTCTCAGAGTTCCTGCTGCTCTAAACATTAAAATAATTATTTCATTTTCTGTTCCTCACTTCTGATTACCTTCAATGTTGTCTGTTTGTTGCAACCAGCAGGTACAAAAACTAACTTGTTTTATTTGACTATTTTTCTGTCCTGTATCTGTTTATTATCTTCCTGCATCTCCTCTCAATCTTAAAGAGAAACTGCTACCTGGGTTCATATATATTCACCTTATGAGTTACCTTTGAACTGCAGTTCTAAAAGATCTACCGACCGCAAAAACAGCGGAGTGCTCGCCGGCTGCACCGGTGAGGTGCGTCACCTGAGGACAAGGTGATGCGCCCCGATCCGCAGCAGCGAAAAGCATCAGGCACAAATAAAAGACAGAAAACATAAAAGGAAATGAGCCGACATGAACAATCGCGTGTTAAATTAGTTTTTGAGGTGGCGACACCTGATTTGATACTGTTACTGTGGCCGTGCTCAGGACGCAGATGTCTGAAGCGCGTCAACAATCAGAGCTTTGCATGCGCAAGCTGGTTAAGATTAGGATGGGGGTGAGGGGAATGTTAAATTGCAAGAGGGCAAAGGTCACAATTTGGTTAAATGTCCGTTTTACGGCGGGTGTCGGTACCGACGCTCTGGCACAGCGCGTTGCCTCCCGACGCACAGGAGCTTGTCACCTGCTGACAGCAGGCTGCTGTCTTTTCCGTGGACTGCATCTTGCCGGTCATTATCACGTGACAGCGACTAGTCGATGACAGGCATAAAAAGTCACTATAGAGCGGTGAAGTCGACTAGTGACTAGTTCATACAACCCATGCTACTGCTCCCCAGAGTGTTCTGCAGCATAATCAGCACGTTCTCTTTGAACTTGATATCAAAATTTCGCCTCCACGGTTAAAGTTACCCTCGCGGTCTATCACTGGCAAATCAAAAGTGAGACGGATGACACAACCGCCCCCCGTACTTGCTTGTTACCACATTCCACCCGGCCACAATAAAAAAACGGCCATTATTCACCTCCGCCGACTCCAACACCGGCAAAAATATGATGCCCAACCGTTAATTGATTACAGGCTAATATTAGAGGATTTACGGTATTTTTTTGTTAAATTTTTATGGAATTACACGATAAACTAATTTAGATTGATTGTCACTGAACATGTGTTTATTATTATTATTATTATTATTATTATTATTATTATTACTACTATATTGTTGCTGTTAAACACTGTAAAAGATCAATCTAACTATATTGTATCTGAGACTGTGTCAAATTAAGTGTTCAGACGTTTATCTCTTAGCTGTATTAAAACAGCTGAAACACTTTGGGTCTAGACCTAACTGAACTAGCCCTTAAAAGTAATATCTGTGTTTCACCAAACTGAGGTCATTCAAATAGCCACCAAAAAAGATAGGACAATAATCGATCAAAAACTTTTTTATGTTATTTACTTTAAACGATCATATCTTTCATTTTGAGCAGATTTAAATGTAAATAATCACTTTTAATTGTTGTAAATCAAGTCATAACGAGTCAGTAATACTACATACTGAGTACATTCTCTCACGGTTAAACTAACGGATAACTCAAAACCCGATTAATAAAATCATATTATAATACATTTATGTTGAGGAATGCAACCACATCCAAGTCAATCAGAATATGCTTTTGTGTTACACTTTGTGCACAATACAGACAATTGTGTATTTGTTTGTCTACTCCATGCATCTCTCACCATTAGCACCAACCGTTCCTCACGAGTCTCCTCTCAAAATGGTTGCAAATGCAGAAGTCTGTGAGATCAAAGGGAATACAACCCCGCTAATTCAACTTCAGATCTGAGCGAGGTCTTCGAATTAAGTGTGAGGTTTTGAAGTAAATGCTGTTTTGCCACCACGTTTCATTTCTTTTCAGCTCCAGCGCCCTAATTGGCCCCAGAGGTGTGAAGGAGAGTGATTGGATGGGAGCGTGGAAGCAGGGCGGACAATCTACCTAAAACGAACACTAATGAAAAGGTCTGGGGATAAACTGACATGTTGATGTAAAATTCCTTCAAAGGACCAAGAAAAGAGGTTTGTAAGGCTGAACATTATTGGTAATAATTAGATATGTTTTACTCCTTTCTAATAAAGCAAGTCTAAACACAGAGTTTGACTTTTGTTCATCCTGGCTAGACATCAGCAGGAGGAAACATCAAAAGGTGTGAGGTGAGGCCCTGACACCTGCCAATTCTCCCTCAGCGTTTCAAATCATTTAACTGAATCCCAGCCTTTAAAATCCACATCATTAAGAAACGTGTAGAAAGTCGCTGCTGAGGGAAGAGAGATGGACTCTCAGCAAACCGGACGACAAAGTGGTAAAAGACAAAAGGAGGGGGAGAGATGAGGGGTTTTTGACACTGATGGATCACTCGGGCCTGGATGAACCCTGGACAGCCCAGATGTTTATAAAATCCAACAAATTACCGGGAGGGAACACCTCTGGCATCGTCACACCAACAGCCCGAGTGCTGCAAGACTGTTTTAATAACAAACGCTATATTTGTTTCTGTTTGGGAGACAAATCCGCTCCTTTCAGCTCCACAGAAATCTAATTTATAGTTTAACCATCATGTGTTTGATGTTTTATTCAAAAGATGGTTTTCATCAGCAGACATACGGAGAATGCTGAACATAAACGACAACTGCGTAATCCTTCGCTTGACCTTAAAGTCACCATGAAATGAAAAAATGACTTAGGAAAAGGGTTTGCTAATTTGCCACTGTTAAAGTTTAATCCTTCTTAAGAATACCCTGCAAAGTAAGAGCAGAGTTTTCTTTTTCTTAACATCAAAACACATAAAAGTTGTTCCACTTCTTCTCTTACTTGGGTTGTCTCATCCCTGCATCAGCCCAGATAAAGACATTATGGTGCTAAATCATTTCTGTACATTAGTTAAAGTTTTTAGAGGAAATTTGAAGGTTGAATTTGAAGCAAATCTCTAAAACTGGTTAAATCTGATCTGATCTACAGTTTTCCCTGGCCAAAATTTGCTTGTCAAGTAATAAAGTTTTAAAGTGATCATCTTTACCTGTTTCACCCCCGGTAAGATCTATTTTTTGTACGGGTAATGAACATGCAGTGACAGTGTGAAGTTGGAGTCGGAGGAGGCTGCTGCTCTGTCAGAAACCCTCTTGCCTCCTCGCCAAGGCCTCCTATTCAAGCTGCTGGAAAGTCTCCCACATGCTGTCAGTGGAAACACAAGGGATGACCGTGGGTGCCTCAAAAGATGTTCAAAAAGAAAATGAAAAGGCAGATGCAGTGGCTGTGCTCAATACAGGCAGAGTGATTTTTGCAGAGGAGAATAGGCCGTGCTGGAGATGAGAAATTACTTCTGTCTCTATTCCAATCTGCAGGATCTCTCGGAGGAGCAACACTTTACATCTTCCTTATGATATCTTTTTAGGATATCAAATAATGCTGCTTTCCTGGCATTTTGCCATATGATAGCACAGCAGCAAACTGAAATTAAGGGGGTTTTGGTTTGCCACGCATCTGGTTTATTATCTTTTCAACCTTAACGTCACTGTAATGGTCTGATATGTTGATAACTGTCTGGCAAAACCACAAATGTCAACACCCTGCTGGAGAGTCTGCTCAGCAGAGGTTCCTTTTCTCAAGAATTTTGCTCATGAAACTGTGTATTTTGTTCCTAATCAAGAGGACTGAACTGATGGAGGGTTTACAGAACGTGGAGATCAACGATCATTCTATGACAAACATGATCATATAGGTGATCCTGAAAAAGCTACAAGAGCATTTAATGTCTCCTACCAGATATATGTCAGTGTGTTAAACTATATTGTCTTTCTTTCTGTATTATAGAAATATTTTTTTAATCGAAGTATCAGCTGTTTTAGAGTTACATCAAGTCATCAAACTAATTTACAAATATCAGGGCAAATACAAGTCTGGAAGAGTCATTTCAATAGAGAATGTGTTAAAATTATATATAGCATCATCCAAAATTCAAATTGTGGGGAACTTTGTATTTAATAAGATTTAAAAGATTGACCAAATGCCATATAAACACATTAGAGGTGTGTTTATACAGCTCTGCCATTGCCCTGCAGCTGGAAAAATGAAGCATGGGTAAAAGTATAATAATGAATTAATAACAAGAACTACTTGTAAAATATACAACTAATGCAAAAATTCTACTTCCAGTTTTTGACAAAAAAGAATAAAGTATTTATCTAATTATGTAATAAGTGTTAGTTCAACTTTACTTGACCAAGTAAATTATGATGACATGGCGACATCTGCTGGAATCATGGAAAATTGTTACTATTTTAATGCTTTCCATGTATTTTAATGGCAAGAATTAAACATAATATCACAACAGCGTTACTTACTGGGTGATATTTAATTAAAATTTTGTGTTTCTATCGAGTGGTTTCATAACTTTGGTGCCCTTTAAAACGCGTGTCATATTTTTGTAAGTTTAGACATTTAAATATTGGCCAATCACAGGGCTTCTTCCTCCCTTCCGAACCAATCACAAAGAGGAACACTTCCACGTGCAGGATTTTCACCCGGGTGAAAATCCTGCGCTGCTTCTGACAGTCGATCTACATTACAGTTGGGTCAAATAAAGTGCCACTAAGAAGACTGTGAGATCTACACGTGACGCAGTTGCCTTGGCCATTTTCGCATGCGCACTGCGCCCAACATGTCAGCTAGCGATACACACAGCATGAGAGGGCACACGATGATGCTGAGCTTTAAAACAGAACATTTAATAGGAATATAGCTGGTGTCAGTACTTCCGTGGCTCCGAATACTGAGAATAGAATTTGTTAATTTATAAATTAGACAAAATGTTTCGGCAGACGAGGGCGGTGCTTCAGAAATTTCGCTGTGTTCGGTAAGTTGGCTAACGGAATGCTGCTCAGACCACTTCTGACTCGTTCAGCTAAAAAAGACTACTTTAGGGTTCTGTTGTGTTGCTAGTGTGAGATTTAACTATAATATGTGAGAAAATATTATGAATTATCTTTATTCATTATTGGGAAATGTGTGAAAAATCTACAGATTCAGCCGCAGCAGGTCAGTTAAAGGTTCAAAAAGTGACTAAAAATGACTCCCAGGCGTTGCTTTTGGCAAAGTCTAGCTAAAATATTTCTATAAAATAAATTTGTTTTGGGTAAAATATTCAAAACAACCAGTGCTGAAAATTCTAAAACAGCATTTTGCTATAAAATATGTGTAATTTACGTAGTTTTGGAGGTTTAGTAGATAATGGAGATAAAATGTGAATAAGGGAGAAGATGCAATAAACCTCACGTATCTGGTATAATTGTCTTAATATTAACTTATCTAAATATTCCCCTGCTTTGTTTTAGTGTTAATGGACAACAGCAGACATGGAGGCTGAAAAGCACGTCAGCAAGAGAGAAGGCCCTTCTGTACCAGCCAGGACAAAAACTACATGGGTTTATAGTCAGAGAGGTAATCACAGCCGAACTACACCAGTGAACATGCTCTATTTACTTCTACAGCTGTTCAGCACGGTGGTGTGGTTTAAAATTGTGTTTTATAAGCAACACCTACAGGTAAATCAGGGTTTTATTGGTTTTTAAATGTTATTGTCTTCATGGTTGTTGTGTCCCTCTCAGGTGGTAGCAGTCCCAGACGTGTGTCTCACGGCAGTAAAGCTGGCTCATGAGCACACTGGAGCTCAGTATTTGCACGCAGCCAGAGATGACTCAAATAATCTCTTCAGGTTGGCTGAAAACGTCATTTTGATCAATGTTTTAGATAAAAATGTCATTGTTCATGCAGCAACATCTCCATGTTTTCTTGATTCAGTGTCCAGTTTAGGACAACCCCCCTGGACAGCACCGGGGTTCCCCACATCCTGGAGCATACGGTCCTGTGTGGATCCAGGAAGTATCCTTGTCGGGACCCCTTCTTCAAGATGCTCAACCGGTCCCTGTCTACGTTTATGAACGCCTTCACAGGTACCACTGGATCCTTTTGGATGTTTCATCGCTTTGTTTGGTGGGAAGATTCAAGATGAGAGCATCTACAAACTATCACAGTGTAACGGGTTATTCATTTATCTGTGAACAGCCAGTGACTACACCATGTACCCGTTCTCCACCCAGAACGGAAAAGACTTTCAGAACCTTCTGTCGGTTTATCTGGATGCAGTTTTCTTCCCGTGTTTACGAGAGCAGGATTTCTGGTGAGTTTTGATTTTTGTTGTCGGATCTGCATTAAATGACTTGAGCAGTTTTTTTTTTATCTACTCTCTTTTTCTAATACAATTTAAGCAACTTGCTGCATAAATGTGGCCTTGAATAAACTTTAAAGCATGATCTCTTCATGGTGAAACTTTACACAGACTAGCTACTAAAATTGTTGATGTTCTTGTTGAATTTGGCCTTTATTACTCATTCACTGCCAATGACGACTAAAGTCGTCATTAGCATTTTTTTTACTGTTTGAGCATCGGAACGAAACCCCGCGCTGATAGAACAAACATCTCAGCCCTGAAGCCGATCTTCATCCGCATACGTCACAGATCACATGATCAGGAAGCAACACATCCATGTGTTTGGAGATCGTTTTGGGCCGTTCCTGTAAAAAAAGTGAGGCGCGAACCGGAAAAGCGTCTGCCGATCACAATTCAACAACGGATTATGAAAGAATGGATAACGCTCGAAACACGCGGTTTCTTCCTGATATAAGAGGTGAGTCTCCTCTTTGTTTTGGTTGTTTTGGCATCGACATCATGCTAGCACGCAACGTTCTGTGACTCTTAAAAAAACGGTGAGAAACGCTGGCAGCGAATGAGTTAAAGGAGCACCTCCCTTATAAATACCAATTAAATCTATTTACTGTATTTTCCGGAGTATAAGTCGCACCAGCCATAAAATGTATAATGAAGAAGAAAAAAACATATAAGTCGCATTGTAGTCGACTATAAGTTGCATTTTGGGGGGAAATTTTATTATTTTTCTTACAAAATCTGAGACCAAGCATTTCACATTGCAAGACAAGTACCGGTAACAATAACAGAATAAGCAATCAGAGCGCAGCAGCGCGCCACGGTCTCCAGCAGTGGATGGTGGTGTTTCAAACCCTCCCAGAGGGCAGGGAGAGCGCCCACAGCACCCCGCCACAGGCTGCAGCAGGTGATGGCGGTGTTTCAAACCCTCCCAGCGGGGAAGAGGAGCTGAAACCTTGACCAGAGCCAGCCCGCAGCAGCGCGCAACGGTCTCCAGCAGGTGGTGGCGGGGCAGAGGAGCTCATTCCTGGTCTGGAGCCGGCCCACAGCAGCGCGGTATACATAATTTGGTATATAAGTCATTTGGTATAAAAGCCGCAGGACCAGCCAGACTATGAAAAAAAGTGTGACTTATAGTCCGGAAAATACGGTATTTATAAAGCACCTTTTACCACCTTAGCAGATGCCCAAGGTGCTGAACCGGACATAAAAACCAGAACAACATATTGAATAAAAATCAGTGAAAAGAAAAATAGACAAATAAAAGCAATTAAAAACTGTGCAATACAAGTGATATAAATATAAAAGCCAGTGTCAGTGTTGGAGGAAAGCTAGCCGATAAAAGTAGGTTTGAAGGCGTGATTTAAAATTCTGAAAAGAAGGCACTTGCTTCTAGAGCTGAAACGATTCCTCGAGTACCTCGAATAATTCGAGTACAAAAAATCCTCGAGTCAAATTCTCTGCCTCGAGGATTCGTTTAATTCATATTTAATTAATTCATGGCTTTGCAATCGCCCGGGGTCATGTTTCACCCGGACCGAAATAAGTGACGCACATGCCCACTGGACTGAATGCACACGCGAGTAGCAAATATAACTTAACTTTCTCTTAAGCCATGGCGGACAACTTGAACCCCGGTGGAGTGCGAAAAAGACAGAAAATGTCAAAGTTGTGGAACCATTTTTCACGTCGTAAGGTGGAAAACGTAGTCCAGTATAAATACAGTAAAATGGATTTAGCCTAGCACAACACCACATCCTCCGTGCTGCAGCACCTGTAAATGTCACTTCTGCAAGCGGACTCGGAGCCTCTACAAGATAATGCATTTTAGCCTGTTTTTCTATATATTCTGCGGACTCTGCGACTTTTTCGTTTGTAGCACTCAGTTTCGGCTCACACCGTACGTCTGGTAGCAACACGTCGAACTTAAAATGTGCTAAAAATAGCAGTTTTTACACAACACGTTGGACTTTTTATTGCGTTATTGATGTCCGTTGTCCCTCGGGGTTTCTGCAGGAGGACACGGGTATTTATGAGTGGCGGAGGAAAACGAAAGAAAGTAAATAAATGTTTTGTGATCAGTATAATTTGACAAAACCACAGCAAACATGCTCTCGACAATCCTTGTTATTGTGAGAAAAAAAGTGTGGAAATTAAAACGGACGTGTGTTAATAGGGAAACAGCCGGCGAGCTGTTTGCGCCGTGAGCGGTTCTGGTTCTGTTTGGGCCGCAGCCGCTCGCAGCACTACTTCAACAGTTATCCTCCTAGTTTTTGTCTGACTTGCAGGCTAGCAGATTCTCGCACGAGGGGAAAATCGGCTCAGGTTTACTTATTTTTTGCACAGGCATTTGTTTACTGTGAAGTAAAGTTGAAGTGCTGAAGTTATGCAAACTAATTTTGAATAAAACTTGAATAACTGGCAATTGCTTGCTCATTTTAAGAGGTCTTTCATAATTATAACATGCTATTTGATATCATCACTTTTATTGTCACGTCACATGTGCAGGTACACTGGTACAGTACATGCGAGTGAAATTCTTGTGTGCGAGCTTCACAGCAACAGAGTTGTGCAAAAATACAGTAATGTAAAAACAAGTAAAATATAAAAATGGCTAATCTAAGTATACAAATGAATAAAGTAAACAATAAGATAAGAGATATAAAATGTACAGAGGTTGGTATGTGCAAAACAGTGGCATTAATGTACAGTATGGAGCGTGCAATGTTGGAACTTGGTGGAGCTCGCGACGAGGCAGCCATACTCGGCGCCATCTTGGCTCATCAATATATGATATAAAGGTTTACAAACACAAAAGGGTAATTTATTAGAGTACTCGATTAATCGAAAAAAAGATTCGATAGAGTACTCGATTACAAAAATATTCGATAGCTGCAGCCCTACTTGCTTCACTGTCAGGGGGAGCTCATGTAGTGAAGGGGCCGTTACTGAGAAGACCCTGTCCCCCCTTGATCTCAGTTTAGAGCGAGGAACCTCCAGCAGTTCCTGCTCAGCAGAGCGAAGGGCACGAGCAGGGACATGCTGCTGCAACAGTTCAGACAGATATAGGGGAGCGCTGCCCTGCACAACCCTGAGAACATGGAGCAAAATCTTAAATCTGGCCCGATAGAACACCGGGAGCCCGTGCAGAGAAGCCAGCACTGGCATGATGTGGTCCCTTCTTGTACTGATCAGGAATCTGGCAGCAGAGTTCTGGACTAGCTGGAGCCGTGAAGTTGCTGCCCGACTCAGCCCAGCATACAAAGCATTACAATAGTCAAGGCGGGACACTATGAAAGCATGGACCACAGTTTCCAGGTGGACTCTTGACAAGAGAAGCTTCATCTTGGAAAGCCGTCGAATAAAAAGCATGCCCGGACAACCATGTTTATTTGTGCATCAAATTTAAGGGCTGCATCAATTTTCACCCACAGGTTAGTGACCACAGTCTTCTCATTTTGAGCCAGGGAAGCAAGATCAACCTCAGCACCTGCTCTTGCTCTTTCACCAGTCCTGTGTATTATGATCTCAGTTTTTTGCTCATTTAGGAAGAGGAAGTTAGCAGCTATCCATGACTTATCGCCCGTTAGACAGTCAAATAATGCAGTTGTATGTGATTGAGGCCGATATAATATATATATATATACATATTATATTATATTATATTATATTATATTATATTATATTATATTGGCCGACCCCACCGAGAGTCGAACCAGCATCAGCTGAGGGGAAAGTAAAACTTAAGGCAGACGATCTTGCCACTGGACTACAAGAACCCACATAACAATAGGCATTAAATGCTGAATACGACACTTTTGTCAGAGCGGCTGTTAACAGATATTTGCTAAAAGAAACCTTTTCATTTCGACATATATTCAGGCTTTGTCATATAGCAAGTTATATTTTTCTTGTTTAATTGGAGCATAGAACATAGCATTAACAATTATAAACTAGTAACAGCTGTAATTCATGTGGGTCAGGTTGGTTTGCGGTAAAGTTGATCTTTCTCAGTGGCCTAGTGGTAGAGTGTCCGCCCTGAGACTGGGAGATCAGGGGTTCGATTCCTGATCGGCTCATACCAAAGACTTTGAAAAAGAAATGGGACCCAATGCCTCCCTGCTTGACACTCAGCACTAAGGGGTTGGACTGGGGGGTTAAACCACCAGATAGTTCCCGAGCGCGGCTGCGTCTGCAGCTCACCGCTCCCCCAGGGGATGGGTCAAATGCGGAGGACAAATTCCGCACACACATCAGTGTGTGTGACAACTAATGGGACTTTAACTTTAAGTTGAAAAACAAAAACAGAAGAAGTCAGTGGGCTAGGCTGAGTTTGCGTGAATGGGCGGGGCTGACTGGTGCAGCTCTGCCTTTGTGGTTCTGCAGCGAGCACCCTCTCAGGCATTTTGGGGGCCAAGGCAAAACGGAACATATTAAAAATATTTTTAACTATAAATGTCAGATGGGAAAAAGGGAACTAAACACCAATCTAATGCATATTATTGAGTCTTTTATAATATTTTGCCTTTAAAAAAGTGAGGCAGTTGAATGCACAGAGTATGCATGTGCTGGCACATGGTCAGGATGGTACCACCTCTGCCTCAATTTGAGCCGGGAAAACCCCTGTATTATATATATATATATATATATATATATAATTTTTTTTTTTTTTTTTTTTTTTTGTTACCCCAACACAAAACTAGATGAGTAGAAATGTGGCTAACATCAGTCAGCAAGCTGCCAGCTGGTCAAGTCAAACAAAACATAAAACAAATTCAGGTTGGTTATGATTTATTTTTACAGGCAGGAAGGCTGGAGGCTGGAGAACGAAGATCCCACTGATTACAAGTCTCCTCTTGTCTTCAAAGGCGTGGTGTTTAACGAAATGAAAGGAGTGTTTGTGAGTCAGAGTTAGGGTTTAAAGTCCTTTATAACTGCTGCTGATGTTTGGAATCTTCGTGTTGGTGCAAAAACTGCAAAATGACCATTTGTTTGTGTGTTTTTTCAGTCGGACAATGAGCGTTTGTTCGCCCAACACCTTCAGAACAAACTCTACCCAAATCACACCTACTCTGTGGTGTCGGGGGGAGAGCCTCTGGCAATCCCAGATCTGACCTGGGAACAGCTGAAACACTTCCACGCCACACACTACCATCCCAGCAATGCTAGGTGATGAAACATGAGCATGTTGGTCATATTTTTAAGATACTGATGTGAAATTTGGACGTAGATGGAAACAGAGGTTTGTTTTGAACATTCAGGTTCTTTACTTATGGAGATTTGCCGTTGGAGAATCATCTGGAGCAAATTCAAGAAGAAGCTCTGTGCCAGTTTGAGCGCATCGACCCGAACACAGAGGTCCCCCCTCAGCCTCGCTGGACCAGCCCAGTAAGTCCATCTTCTAGCTTCCACTTATCATCTGAAACACATTTTTGATGCGATTCGTCCTGGCTCTGGTGTGGACTTTTCTCTAGAGAGAGGACCATGTGACCTGCAGCCCTGATGCTCTGGCTCCTGATCAAAGCAAACAGAACACGCTGTGTGTGAGCTACCTGCTGGGAGAGTAAGGTCACACTTCCTGTTCACAGAAACTCCAGTTAGGAGCTGTTTTTTAAGCGAAAGTGATGTTTTTAGTATTTATCTGGAATATTCTGCTGATTCGGTTTGACTTCTCGTTTCATCTTTTAGCATCACCGATACGTTTGAAGGATTCACTCTCAGCCTGCTGTCCTCGCTGATGGTCTCTGGACCAAACTCTCCCTTCTATAAGTCTCTCATCGAACCCAAGATTGGCAGCGACTTCTCCTCTGTGGTTGGGTTTGTACCTGAACTTCAGATGAGTTCATGATGAGGTGTGACGAATCTGTCATGACGCGTCTTCGTGTCCGCTCACAGGTACGACGGAAGCACCAAAGAGGCGTCGTTCAGCATCGGGCTGCAGGGGATGGCTGAGGAGGACACGGAGAGGGTCAAACGCATCATCAGCCAAACCATCGATGAAATCATACAGTGAGTTTGTCTGCTTATGTCTAAATATTTAAATGAGGATGCCAAACCTTTAATGTCTGCGGTGTTTTTTTATTTGCTTCTGGAATAAAAATCTGACACAGTTGAGTTTGTGATTAGAGAATAAAATTCTGTTTCCTGGCAGGAATGGCTTTGAGAGTGAGAGGATCGAGGCTCTTCTCCATAAAATTGAGATTCAAATGAAACATCAGTCGACCAACTTTGGCCTGGCCCTGGCCTCGGTGAGTGTACGTGGGTGGTATGTGTACAGGAAATCTCTACTCGTCTCAGAGACTGCGTGGAACCCAGAGCTGTTTATGTACGTCCTAAAACGTTTTTATTTGTGTGTATGGTTTCTTCCCTGTTGTCGTGCTTGCTTGATTGTGTGTGTGTGTGTGTGTGTGTGTGTGTGTGTGTGTGTGTGTGTGTGTGTGTTTAAAGTACATAGCTTCATCCTGGAACCACGGCGGCGACCCGGTGGAGCTGCTGAAAATCAGCGACAGCGTCGCCAAGTTCAGGCAGGCTCTGAAAGAAAACCCTCGCTTCCTCCAGGACAAGGTCAAATTCTATTTGAAGGTGAATAAATCAAGCAGTTTCTGACTTTTTTCTGTCGTTTTATTAGAAAAGTATCAATAAATATAATTAAATGTGTTTAACTGATGCGCTTAGCCTCGTAGTAATATTGCCTCATGAGCCCCTCGCCTCTGACGGCTAAACGCGTGTCAGCCCCGCCAATCCCTTTGGAGTGACTGTGGGAGGCCCCCCCGCAAAAGAGGGTAGTCGCGTTTGTGACGTATACTGCGTGCCGAGTGCTGGCCGGAAGGGATATAAACACAGACAAACATGGCCTCTCACTAGTATCAGCAACCTCCCTTTATCCCGTCTTGGTTTGAGAGGTGCCTGATGGCAGTTTATTCTAGCTTCAACTTTGCTAATATAAATGCCAAAATCCTCCCCAGGGAGCCACGAAAAATCCCGTTTTGCAAACGCTATGGTCCTGTAAAAACAGCCTATGTAACAGGGCTGATAAGCATGAAGCCTTTTTCCAACCTTGCAGGAGAACACGCATCAGCTGACCCTGAAGATGAGCCCAGACGAGGACTACATGGGCAAACAAACCCAGGCTGAAGAGATAAAACTTCAGGAAAAGATTCAACTTCTCTCTGACGGCGACAAAAAACAGATTTATGAGAAAGGTAACAAAAAACCACGTTCCAAATGTTTATTTTGTTAGGAGTTAGATGATGTCAGACTGTTGCTATGTGGTCACGTCCAGGTGTGTTGGAGTTAAATATTTAGTCCACTGTTTTCCATGTGAAGCTGTATTTTTGGATGTTTCTGACTTTTGCCTGTTCATGTAAAGGTTTGGAGCTGCTGGAAGCTCAAAGTAAAACTCAGGATGCTTCCTGTCTGCCGGCTCTCAGAGTGTCCGACATCGAGCCAGCCATTCCCATCACTCCTGTTCAGATGAGCTCTGCAGGTATGCCAGCGCCTCATCAGAAGTATTCAAATTCAATTCAAAGATACTTTATTAATCCCAGAGGGAAATTAGAGTTTCAGTACACACAATTCTGAGATCAGACATACATACAGGCATAGACACATGACAAGAATTGGTGACTGTGGTCATTCGCAACCCGAGTCGCGCTACCTTAATAGAGATCAGAGTCAGATGGAGAAAAAAAAGGCACATCAGAGTTACCCTCCACAGGGGGTGGGGGCAGCTTTGCTATGCAAAAAACACCTCAGACAGAAATGCAACAGACTTCAGACATCACACAACTTAAGCGTCCACTAGGTGGGGAGGTAGGGTTGGGGACTCTCTTCACATCAGTGCATGCAGCCATGATAAGCAGCGCTCGTCACCTCCGTTTGGACAGGGGAGGAGGTCGCTGGGTTTTAGAGAACACAGTGACTCCTGGAACAATTCAACGACCTTCAGTCACAGTCCCACCCAGGCTGGGATAGGGAGACAAGAGTTGCCATGGCGACGGCAGCATTCCACATTTCTTCTGAGGGGGGAGTATTCACTTCAGCCTCACAGGCTCAAGGGAACCAGGTTCAGATAAGAACTTGTTTTGGGGCCAGACAGAGATAATTTCCTCTCTGTCTTAAAGTTCCGTTGGTCCTCAACCCCTCTTAATCCAATAATGGCGTAATTAATCTATCCCAATCCGTGCTGATCCTTCCACTCGCTCCTTGATGGAATCAACCTTCTGTGCCAGAGTCTGAATCTCAGCCAAAGTTGCAAGCTTACGACTCATCTCGACAATTATGAGTTTGTGCATCCACAGCGCGATGTAATCCATCCCTGAGCTCCGGGATTGAGCCAATATTCCTCGACCGCTCATTAATTTTCCGGTAAGCCAGGTAACCGCTCAGGCCAAAAAGCAGGAAACCTGACACTAGAGCTGAGGAAAATAATTAAATAATCGATGCATCGGGATGCGGACATAAACGATTCTGCATCGTAGAAAAGTACGCCATAATCGATTATAGTGGAATGTAGTTTTGTTTTTTTAACGGCAGTACCAGCGCTGCATCCAAATCTGTCAGAGTGAGCGTCCTCCACATTTACCTCCGCCTTAATGTGGTACTGTAGGGCTGAGCGCTAGAGTTGTCACCTGAGACCGAACCGGAACCGAATCAGCCCGACCGGTTCTGTTGGATTTGGGCCGTGAATTATGTTAATTGAGCGGGTTGTCGTGCGGCGCGCTGCGCTCGCTCGATCAGCGACTGAGAGAGAGAGAGAGAGACTGTCTGCTCACACAAGAGAGAGGATCGGAGGACGCTCCTCCAAACCGATGCTCCAAACACGCATTATTACTTTCATAATTTAATTATTATTTCTCCTGGAAGCGCTCAGTCAGACAGAGTGTTGTAATGTAGGGAGATCCGGTCTTGGGGAGGGGGCGGGGTCAGTGATGGCGGCTGGAGCGTGATCTGTCTCTTTTATTTAGGGACACGGAGAAGTTGGAGAGAGAAATAGAAGTTCTTGTTCCACTTTATTCTTTTGTTTCGTTTCTCTGTATGTCTTGCACATGTGGTAGAAAAGACAATAAATGACTTTGATAAACTGATGTTAAATACATCTTAAAGAGAAACTGGAAGGAAGCTTTGGTCAATTTGAGTTAAAAGGAGACTTGTCTCCTATCTGCTCCTCCAGAGACGGCATGGACATGAGGGTCACAAGGTGAGGGAGAGACAGGACAGGTTAGTGGAAAGGTTTGTAGTTAGCTGGTTAGTGAAGGAGATCCATCAGCTGGGTAATTTAATCCTAATCCAGCCCACAGCCTTCTGCTGGTGTTCTTATCAGGAAGAATAAAAAACACATCTTAAATATTATTATTATTATTTTATTTTTTTTTTTTGCATCGAACAGAACTTGATTCATTCTCCAACATTTCAGAAACGAACCACTGGGTTCAAATAAAATAAACTAAGTCAAACATTTCATTTGGTGTTATTTCTGACACCCTTCAACTGTGGCATAAATATTTGACTCTAGAGCTGCTCAGAGACATTAAACACTCATATATGAACCCTTCATGTATTTTATTATTACATTATGTGTCCTGTAGGTTTTCAGTACTTTCTTAGATTTTGTGAGTTTTTGCAAAGCGTGTTTTTCTCAGCCTGAGGCGTGGTGTTGAATGAGGAAACAGATGTTTTACTTTGTTAAATCTTCTTAAATGTTTAAAACATTTTGTCCTAACTTGTTGTGAATGGAGAGCTTTTGAGGGATAGCAGGTTGTGTCAGTTATGTTTTAGATAAAAAAATAAAAAGCAATTATCTGACATCTTCTATTTATCGATGAAAACAAATCAATATGAAATAATCGTGATGCATCGGGATATCGAATTGAATTGAATCGTTGACCCAATAATCGTAATCGAATCGGGAGACAAGTGAAGATTCACGCCTGTACCTGACACCAACACCACGAATATCCAGACGTCTTCAGAATCCTCTACAGACAACTGAGTGGGGCAGATGATGTTCCACTGTTTCCAGGAGTCCATGATATGCCCAGCTGGATCTGTCCCAGAGAGGCAACCGGGAGCTCCTTCTCCCGTTCTCAATGAAAAAATTTTGTCAATCGCGTTGAGAGACCAACTGACCAGGTCCATTTTTAATAATTTCCAGTTTCCAGAAAAAATGCAGAAGCGCCATAAACCCAAAGACAGACAAAGAGCCTTGGGATAAGATACGGAGGAGAGTAGGAAAAAAGCGTCCGTACTCTCCAAGAGCTGGAAGAAGTGGTATCCGAGTAAGTATCTGTTAGTGTCTGACGGAGATGTTTTACCTTCAAAGGTGACGTTCCGGTTCAGCTCTGTGAACAACCCACCAACGGTCTGGTGTACTTCAGGGCCGTGTGCAGTCTCAACACGCTGCCGGAGGACCTCAGGGCTTACGTCCCGCTCTTCTGCAGCATCATCACTAAGTGAGTTCACCCAACAAGCTCCCTGATTTCTTTTGTCAGCTCCCTCCACGGAGAGGAGAACTGAGTTGGTGGTTTATTTTGACCAGGATGGGTTGTGGAGATCTGGACTACAGGCAACAGGCCCAGCAGATGGAGCTGAGGACAGGGGGGATGTCCGTGTCCCCCCTGGTCGTCCCTGACTCCACCCAAATGGACACATTTGAGCAGGTCTGAGCCAGAGCTGGAGCCCTGACTAAGATGTCCTTTTATGTCCTTTTGCCTGTAATTGCTGGACTCCTTCTTGTCTTCAGGGCATCCTTTTATCCTCCTCCTGCCTGGAAAGGAACCTTCCTCACATGTTTCATCTGTGGAGCAACATATTCAATAAGTACTTCCTGTCTCCTGTTGCATCCTGAGAGTTTCTGTAAAGAGAGGAGTACCCACAGGCTTCCTGGTTTTGTCTTTCAGTCCCCACTTTCACGACGAGGAGCGCCTGAGAGTGCTGGTGATGATGTCAGCCCAGGAGCTGGCCAATGGCATCTCCTACTCTGGTCACATGTACGCCATGACACGGGCGAGCCGGCACCTGACCCTGACGGGAGTCCTCCAGGAGACCTTTGATGGGATGGAACAGGCAGGTTCCTGAAAAGATGCGTCTGGAGCGTGAAACGCTCCTGTTACTTTGATTTATGTTTGTCTTTAATAATCAACATCAGGTGAAGTTCATGAAGAGGATGGCTGAGATGCCAGATCTCTCTCAGGTCATCCGAACTTTACCCAGAATCAAGAAACACCTTCTGAACCCGGAACACATGAGGTGAGCGTGTGTATCAGGGTGGATGTTAAACCTCAACACCTCCCAGAATGTCTGGATCTGTGACTTTGTTTGCATCTGAGCAGATGTGCCATCAATGCAACGCCTCAGATAATGTCTGAGTCCGCAGCACAGCTGGAGAGTTTCATGCAGGACGTAGCTGAAACCAAAAGAGAACGCAAACCTGTGAGGACAAACATTATCAAGGTACAGATCAACCAGCGGAATGGAATGTTTCCTTTTCTGGGAAAATTCAGTTATTTGCTTCTTTCTGTGGGTTTGTTTATTTACTTTTGTTGCAGAAACCGCTGGACCCTCAGGGGAAGTCTGGCGCCAGTAGAAAACTCGTAACCGTGAGTTTGTGACTTTATTCTCTGGCCACAGACAGCTTCTTGTTATTTAAACATCTTTATTTTAAAAACTGGATTACTTGAGAGTTACTTAGGTTAAGAGTTACACTTCGTGTGCTTCTGGGTGTCAAATCCACTGGATTTGACTAAAAACCGAAACCAACGTAACCATAAAGGGACGATAGTGTCGAGGTTTATCCAAGAACATTGGACGATCTGCTATGGACAACACTTTAGTCCTGACTGTGCTCAAACTAGCCGTTAGCTTATGAGTACTGATGTTAGGGCTCTGTTTCTTCAAACAGGCTGTTCTGGATGCTATTTGCAAAATGATAAATACGTTTTTTTTTTTTTTTTTTTTTTTTTTGCACAAAAAAACTTAACAGCTGAAGTAAAATCATTGTTAAACGTCTGTAATGAATCAATCCTTCAACTAGCAGATCGATCACATGGTCGAAACATCATCACAAAATGGGGACGTCTGCATAGACGGTTATTCTGTTATTTATTGTGTTCAAAAGCCCTCGTTGCTCCAGATGATTTAAAAAATGCAAAGAAGAAAAGTTTATCTTTTCATGGTGTCAAAGTTCAGAAAACATAGATCACAAACCTGGAATAAGTCAACGATTGGTGATGTTCGATGTGATCAGTGAGTAAATAACTACGCATAACCTCAGGACTTTTATCTGTGAGATAAAGAAAACTCGCACAAACAACCTTTTAGCATGGAAGCATAAACACCAGGAAGGCTAAAGCCGGTCTGGGTGGAATAAATGAAACTGGGCTCCAGACTAAAGGAGATGGGTTTAGGTTGGCCGGTGGAGAGTTTCGACTTTTCTAATTACAGATTTGTGTTTTTCCAGGAGCCAAACTTCCAGCCGTGTCAGATGAAAACATTCTTCCAGATGCCGTTTCCTGTGAACTTCGTCAGCGAGAGCATCCGTGCGGTCCCGTTCTGCCACCAGGATTACGCCAGGTGATATTCTGATTATTAATCTCATTGTGACTTTTTATTTTCCAGCGTGGTGACCTTTCTTCTCTCCCATCAGTTTGTGCATCTTGGCGAGGATGATGACGGCAAAGTTCCTCCATGGAGAAATCCGTGAGAAGGGTGGAGCCTATGGGGGCGGAGCCAAAATGGGAGGAGGGGGCGTGTTCTCCTTTTACTCCTACAGGTGGGTCGGCCTCACTTTTGGACTTGGGTTTCTAGAGCCTGATGGGTTTAATGAACATGTTTACAACTAAAGAAGCAGCGTTTTTTCTGCAGCTGTTGCCTAGTTTGGATTTAAGTTCATGTCTGGTTTGTTTTCCAGGGATCCAAACTCGGTGCAGACGTTATCTGCCTTCCGTAAAGGTGTCGACTGGGTCAAGTCAGGCCAGTTCACTCAGCAGGACATCGACGAAGCCAAACTGTCGGTGTTCTCGGCCGTGGACTCTCCTGTGTCCCCCTCAGACAAAGGTCGGACCCACCGTTGTTTATTTACATTAAAACATATTAAACCTGGATTTTATCTGATCATTCTTTCCACAGTGTCTCATGATTATTACTTTTAAAACAACTAAGTGCCGATCATTTCGGTCTGTTGCATTTGTCGTTTATGTTGTTTGGCTTTAAAACTCCCCACCGTCTCTCCTCGCTACAGGAATGGGTCTTTTCCTCAGCGGGCTCTCCGATGAGATGAAGCAGAACCACAGAGAAAAACTCTTCGCTGTTGATCATAAAGGCTTAGTGGACGTGGCTGAAAGGTACGTCTGAGCTTTAAACTCTACTCTGGTTAGATATTTGTTAAATGTGGTGAAGCTTGCAGCTTTTTGAGACAAACTAAAGCTGTGGTTGGGTCCTGCAGGTACCTCAGTGTTGGTCAGAGGACATGTGGCGTCGCCATCCTGGGTCCAGAGAACGATGCGATCAAAAAGGATCCCTCATGGATCTTGAAATAATATTTCTTAGGTATTTTAAAACTGAAAACCTCTCAGACTTGACAACCAAACACAAATGCTCGAATGATTTTAAATGTTGGTGAGAGAGGCTGAAACGCACAAGCTGCACACACAGAAGGAGACCTGGTCACTGTTGTGTATTCCGCTATGTACATACCCATGAAGATACCTCAGTTTATGATATTAATACAGAAGTGTTGATCAAAAAGGATGTTTTAGCATCTGTTGTTTACTAAATGGGTCAAAGGCACCTTCACACCACAGTACTGTTAAAATCACACGTATTAAACCGTGTCTGCGCTTCTTTTATCCCGTTTCACAACTTGAAATAAAAAGACAAATTTTCTTTTGGAGCCAAAAAGACAAACTTTGTTATCTTGTTTTCTGTTGGCTAACAGATTTAATACCGTTGTGAATATTTTTCTGCTTTTAAGTTTGGATAACAAGCAAAAACATAAAAATTGACTTTTTCAAATGTCTTTTTCAAATTCTATATAACAGTTTAAATCTAAATTAGGAAGTTAGTTTATTTCCGCCCCTTTTCCAAAACTCACCGTGAGACTCAGAGGAAAAACTACCTGAGTTTGTAAAAAGATGGTTGGTATTAGAACATCGTGCTCTGGTCCTGCATGTGTAAAACCTTAATAACTGACCTTTAAAGGTCTTAAAATGGGAAAATGTGCTTTGAAATTAGCTTCAGTCAATAGGATTTGGAGTCTTCCTGATAACAGGTCATCTTGCTTCTGATTGGCTAACAGCAATGCGACTCTACCCCTGAGTGATGTGGATGTTTTATCTCCACAAATAACACAAGCCTGGAGGAGTTCCGCTGTGAGGTGAAGTTGTTAATGCTAACGGTTAGCTTGTACTAGGCCGAGATGATCTGCTATTTCCTGGACGCTAAACCATCAACAGCTTTCCTCGTGAGTCAAGATAGGTGAAACCATGAATGTGAAGTGACTGTGTGATGTAGATCAGTCAGGATTTTCTATTCTTAGTTTCACCGTCTGTTTTCTATTGGAAGCTAATGCAGGAGATAGGTGTAGGAGACTTTTCATGTTCAGCCTGAATGAAACACTCAGTGTGACCCATTAGAATTAGAAAAAAAAATGTTTTTTAGTTTTCCATACCTTCAAAAATGTGTAAATTAAAGCCAAAAGTCAGCATTTTCTCACAATGGCTGCTTTATTCACTCTGACAGGACACACACACACACACACGTTACACAACATGAACAGTGAGCAGATCAACACTTTTTCCACTGCAGGAGCCTGCACATAAACAACAGCTATAAGGTGCTTCATTGAAAGCGCAGGATGTACATAGGCTGCAAAGGCAACAACACACACACACACATTGCTACAGTTAGCAGCCCAGCGACACACGACCAGCTCCTCCTGAAACCTTGTGATGTGTTCAGGTTTCTGGGATTTTCCAGTCGAGGCGTCATGACCCTCCCGACACAGATGGACATTCGTAAGCAGCTTTAGGTGATGACATGAAACATGGAGCACAAGGAGCGGTTGAAAATACAAGAATAAGAGCTAGACCTTGAACGCATCGCCCTGCTTGGCTGTGTTTAAGCGGCATGTTCACTCTTAAAAAATATTGCTACATTCTTGGGGCTAAACCTAAATACAGTACATAAAGGGTGGTGCATATATTATATTTATATACTATGGGTATCTAAATAGTGTTAGCTGTTAGCTTATTTAAAATAAATAGGGCTCTTCTCAAATTACCAGATTTAATCTAAGATCAAATATAGAATTTCCCTCAAAAGCACTGTGGCTTTACAATAAATCAGCTCTCAAAATTATCATCTGCCTTTAAAAATCTTTCATAATAAATGTATCCTCAGTAGATCTTTGTGTGATCAGCTGTCACCGAGGTGTGAAGCTGGGTTCCTGCAGGAGTGAAGCTTTTTGTCCACGTCTGCGCCGCCGTTCAGATGCAGGCCGAGAAGTCACTCTCTTTGGGTCGGACCTGGGTCACGTGTTCCAGCTGGCCAGACTCGGACACGTCGTAGTCTATCTTGTACTTGGCCAGGATCTTCATCACGGGGCGGAGCTTCAGCCACCACTGGTCCTTGGGGATCCTGTGGCTGAAAGGAGGAGTTTGGTGGTCAGACTTTTCCCAGCTGAGATTCTTTCAGTCGTTTTCATCACGGCTCACGTTATCACAAGGGCTTAAAGAGCAAGTCACCCCCAAATCAACTTTTTTTTCTGATAAACAAATGTGTGTCTAATCGTGCTGCAGACAAGTGTAGTTAATAGTTTAGCACTTTAGTGCATTTTAGTTTAAATTTAAATTTTCTGCCTAAGACTGTCAGTGTTGTGCCGTTGTCAGGTGAAAACTGCACTGCATTTGAATTTAAATCTGCCATCACTATGGCTAAGAGGTACCCTAGAACATTAGCTGGTACCATATGATATCACAATGTCATTGTGAGCCTATGTGTGTGTGTATTTGTTAGTGGCTCCGCCCTCTTGGTCTGCTAGGCAACAGCATTTGTTTTATTTTTCAAACAGGAAGTGGGAGTGGAGCAAACCACCCCCTCTGGTAGGGGGTGACTTGCTCTTTAAGTGGCTGAGGGGCTAAATGTAGCTTTTATCTGTTTTTATAAGAGTATGAAGACAGTGGAGGCCACACGTATGACTAAAACACACACACACACACACAACAGATGGTAAAAAATAAGATAATTTTTAAGGAACTAAAGAAACATCTGATCTTAGAAACTGAATTCTGCAGAATAAATCTGTTTTTAATCTGTTCCACCAGTAAGGTAAAACTAGAATCATCTAAATTAGTAATTGAATTGGTGTACTTTGTTAAAAAAAAAAAAATATATATATATATATATATATATATATATATATATATATATATATATGCAAATAATAGAAATGTAAAATATGATTAAAAAAATACAAAATGTGGTTTCTAATTTATTGCTGTAAGTAAATTTAAATTTAAAGTTATGAGTTTGAAGAAGGAGTGTTAAATCTACCATTTTTACTTTTATTATTCAGACTTTCAGGCTGTTTCTCTGGTTTTGGTCGCTACATAAGCAGCAAAAGTGCAGAAATGAAAATCTAACGTACACAAAGTCGGTCTCTCCCTGCAGCTGAGCCAGAGGCTGGAAGACCATCGCTCTGCGCCGCATCCCCAAAAGGCAGACAGACTCCTCGGAGTTGGCAAAAACGATCCCTTTGTGGAAGGAGAACTAATTTTGTAACTGAGACAAAATACTGCATCTGCATGATGGAAATCCTCTCATCATGGATTAAAACCATATGAAGCTCAAATAAGTACCTCCTTTGTAGGACTCTTTGAGCATCCGTGTGATCCACTGGATGGCTTTAGCTGCAACCTTGGTGCCGAAGTTTCTGTCAAAGGGAGAAGGAGCTCCTCCCTGATCAGTGGAGTAAATAAAACTCGTCGTAAACCAGCGCGATGAAGCCACAGATGGAGCTGTGTGGGTATTTTTACCTGCTGCATGTGACCGAGGATGTTCTTCCTGCAGTCGAACACACCTCGACCCTCTTCAGAGTACAGCTGGTAGATGAAGTCGGTGGTGAAGTTCTCGTTGCAATTCTCATTTCTAAAACGATGAACGCAGGTGCAGGATTTTAAAGCTGGCTCACATACATGAGTACAGACCTGTGGAAACGTGCTGACATGTTTCTTTTTCAGATTCATGAAGCAGCAAAATGTTTTACTGGTGTAAAGCTCCACGAGGCTGATGTCCGCTCTCGTCTTCAGCCCAGCTGGGAGCATCTTGGTCTACAAATGTTTTTTTATTGTTTGTTTCCACCTTCGCTTCACAATATTGAACTAAAAGCTTGAACTTGAAAATTAAGCCTATAAAATGTTTGTATGGGGTGTCAATTGTAAAGATCAACAGCTCTATTTGACCATATTTATATTGGATATAGAAAATTTATGTTTGAAAACATCTAAAAACTAAACTGAAATGTAGAATCAAATTTAAATGTATGGATTTGAGATAAAAATGTTTGAGTATAGTTAAAATAATTTTTATAATCTAAATTATACACATAAAGTTCTAAGTATATGGATTCAAATCTAAACCTAAAAAGTTAGTTAAATGTTAAAATTAAAGATAACACGTGACTAGTGAGTGAATTCAGTCTGCTATGAAACAGAAATGGTCCATAAATAAGAACAGGTTAGATCAGTCTGACCGTCATTTACCTGCTTTTACAACCCAGAGAGGAAACGGTTAAAAACACTCCGTCTTACTGTTAAATAGGATCTTTATCCCACTTTTATTCTTGAACAGCTACGGTTGTTTAACACATTCTGAATGTGCATGTTTAGTTTAAAACAGCCACATTTATGTTTAAATGTCAGTATTTAAACATGGATATCTCCTGTGTTTAGATTTGACTAAATATTCATTTTAAACATTATTACTGAAGCTAAATACTATATATTTTTGACCATTATATTATTTTTCAGTGAGTGCTCTGTATGTTAGGGTTAGACTTCTTTTTGCAGGCAGGAAAGGTCAAACGAATGATTTCAGAGTTTTTCAGTCGTTTTCTGACGCAGCCTGCAGAAACAATCACGCACGGCTGTTTCCGATTGTCGTGTTGGTACAATAACTTTATGCAGGTGCTCCTCTCAGCTCTGGCTCCCAAAGTCACCTTCACTATATGCAAAGTACAACATTTGTCCCATTTCTGCAGCCCTTCATCCAGCTGAGAGTATTTTCAACACTGCGGTGCTGCAGTGGCCTAAAATACCCACAACACAAAAGACGAGGTACGTAGGATCACTGACGTATGAAAATTAAGAGTTTTTCTGAGTTTTAGCCAGAATTGTAACATTTTAAAGTCTTAATCATCCCTATAGTTCTGACATTTCTTCAGACTGAACACTAAACAGCTTTAAAATCTGAACTCACCGGAGCACCAAGCCTCTCTGGATGCTTGTTTTCATTTTGTGCGTCAGATGTTCCACGTTGGTCTGAAAACAGAACCGAGCCTCGGATTAAACCAGGAGGAAGAGCGGATGCTACCTGCACAAGCAGCTGAAAGTATGACTCCTCAGGATGATGGGGAAGCGCTTGGCCACTTAAGCACCACCAGGGGGTGACAAGCACACCATTTACAAATGAAAGCAACATTAAGTAGAACAGGTTGGCTTTGTTGAGTCCTTTTCTACATTTAAAGATAAAATATCGTTTTAAATGTGATTTTGATATCTGAATTCTTTAAATGTTCACATTGAAAACTAAACCCTGCACAGGCAAAGTAGCACAGCACTTTTAAAAAGCAACAAGTTATGATTAAACACGAGAAATGAGTTGGACGAGAGGAGATCGGACTCGGCTGAGGCTGCGGCTGTAGTCTGGATCACCTGACTCATGCCCAGCAGAGGCAGGGATGTTCTGAACACTAACCCACTCGTGGTAAGCATTTCGTATCTGCAGCATGATATCCACAAACAGCTGCACATTAAACAGAATGCTGCATTTAATTATCTTCTGTCTAACCTGCAGGTCACGGATGTCAAACGGCTCCTCGAAGATGTAGACGGCGTCGGCACCTGCAGCCAAACCGCCCACGGTGGCCAGGTAGCCGCAGTAGCCCCCCATCGTCTCAATGATGAAGACCCGTCGCTTGGTGCCGCTGGCTGACTGCTTGATGCGGTCGCACGTCTGAGTCCCAAAAAAACGGGTAAAAAATTACTCAAGGGGGCAAAAGGATTCTGGTTGTGGACGGGCATGCAGCTGCAGAGCGAGCAGTTTAAAGCAGAGCCGATGCAGCTTAAAACTACTTCAGTTACTGATGACGTCTAACGTCTGGGATCCTTCTTTTATGGAGTGATGTGGAGAAAGTTTTAGATTGTTAAGGAAAAGAGCAGTGGCTCTGCTTTAAAGTAAAACATTTGTCGTTAGTCGCTCTGACGTTGATGCACAGGTTGATTATTCCTGCAGATTCACCTCCTGAACCCTGCAGCAGATGAGTTTTATCATCCATTTAGCTTTTTCTTCTAAAGAGCTTCAAAACTACAAGTTTTAGTGCCTTTAAAGTCAACATGTGCATCTTTCTGTTTTCTATTGGTGAAGTCCACCAGTCAGAGCCGGCCGGCGTGCGGTACCGCCTAACGGCACACGCTCTGGATCGTTCCTTCTGGCAGACTTCACCCATGCAAAAGCACACGGAAACACAGCGACGCAGAGCACAAGTGCACCTGTGTCGGTTAAACACACCAGTTACTCGCTGACATGCGGCTGAGGTCTAGACTTTATTTTTACTCACATTTAGGACTTTTCTTCAGTTCCTTGTCTGCACCATGCAGCACTGAGTCAGGGCTATGCAGCTGCATTATCCTGCTTTAACTCCATCAACCTGCATGAACCTTCCAGTTGTCATGCACCTCCAGTACCAGCTTCTTTACATTTGATCAGTTCAGTCTCAGTTTTGACCTCTGGCAACTTTAGTCCTTCCTTGTTTTTTAGAGATTTAACACTAAACTGTCCTTGGAGCATCGTATGAAGGTCTGGGTCAGTTCATCGCCTGCAGGCTGCACCACGTAACTCTGGTTCTGTTTTGTTTTCCTGTCTGATAAAGAACTGATCTTATATTTAGGTTTTAAGACTCCATCCTACGTCTAGAACCATAAACAGCATCACTTCATGTTAAATACGAAGGTCAAACCACCAGATACTCCTGGACATTCCAAGGTTAAAGATAAAGATTAAAGCAGGGTGACTGTGCCACTGATCTGTTAAATGATCAACCTTCCATCTAAGATCTGCTCAGTTTGAGTAAATTCATTGTCAGTACTTTAGTTTTTGTAACCATTTTCTAAATCTGACATCATTTTAATTATAGTTTAACATCTTTCAGGTAAATTCTCATCATTATTTCCCCTCTGCAGTAACGCTGAGCCCTTACCTCCACGATGGCGTTGAGCGACGTGTCGGCTCCGATACTGTGGTCGGTACCTGGCACGTTGTTACTAATGGTGGCGGGCAGAATGCACATTGGGATGCAAAACTCCTGGTAATGGGCCCGGGCCTCGTACAGCTCCAGCAGAGACTCAAAGGCCTGATGGTGGTGGCCGTAATACACAGTTAAACCACTAGGGGGAAGCCTTCCTCTGCTCATGCTCCCCCTGTCTTGTTGGGGTCAAACTGAACTGGGTCAGTGCGACATACTGAAGAAGCAGTGTTTATACAAATCATGTAGCACAAGAAGAACGTTTCTGTTTGATGCTGACAGGCCGTTCGGGTTCTCTGAATGTTCCTGATCAGCTAAAGTCTTCTAGTTGGATAAATGAGCATAAACTAGGTGAAAGTATGGTTATTTTCTAATTGGACACAAGAACTTAAAACTACTTCTTATCCTTATAAAATACATAATGTCTTTGTGACAAAGGCATGATGGGTAAAAAAAGGTCCACTTTAATTCAGAGACCTTGAACTTGCAGCTGTGAAGTGCACGGCCGGCTGGCTCTCTCCAGGAAATCAGCACAAGGGGCTTCTCATTGGCTTATAGAGAATGGAATGGGGAGAAGGGGTGGGGGCATCGCAGCTGACAGTGATGGTGTTGACGCAAGAAGATAAAAACTAGATGTGGGACTCATCGATGTCTCCATTTATGTCCAACACTGAAGGAGAAGCTCTGCCTGGTCTCAGAACCGTGTCCATGGAGGACATCTACTGTTGTCTCCGTGTTGTTTAGAGGACAGACCTGAATGGATCCAGACTAACTCATGCTTGTCTGCTCTTTACTAACACACACACGCACACACACGAGCTGCTCGGACACACAGAGTGGACACACACATGCAGCATGCCATGCTGACACTTACCTGAGACCTCCGCTGACCAGCTCGCCTCACACAACAAACAACCTCGATGACCTCCAGTTATTAGCTGCTAATGGGCTCCTGTAAAGCTCAGTGATGCTCTAAAAGGTTCTGAACTAAAATCATTTAATGGTTTATGAAACAAATCATCAAAACTTTAGCTTGAAGCTAAAATCGACACTGTTTTGATGTGTGTGAATTGTAGTCGGGCCTGATCAAGAACTAACTGCACGAGAAGCTGGAGAAGGCGTGGGACAGAACTGGAACTAACAGGATTTAAACCAGAGCCTCGTTTATTTCACTTCATATTACATTTTTATTCTCATAAAAGCTCTCAGCTGAAAATGAGCCAAGTTGTTTACGTTTACATGAGTTTTTCTTATTTATACCATTTACATTTCTTATTGTTATTGTTCACACCAAGATGTTAGCATAAGCTCCGTTTACAGCAGTAAATTAGTCCACATCTTTGGTTTCTGGTCCTATTTTAGGGAACAATCAGGGAACAATTTCTGTGTCCCTTTTTGGGATTTTTAGCTGTAAAACTTTTTTCTAATTTAAAGATGAATCAAATATTAACAATTGCTGATCTGATGAATGAGACCAGGCTGAACTGGACTTGTTTATGTTCTCTGTGGAATTAGGAGATTCACTAGGATTAAATTAATAATCTGAGCCGAACCACAACTGGCTCCATTGGTTTGAATCATAGTCAGTAAAAATCCCAGATTTGTCCAGATGTAACCCAACGAGCGACCACTGAGCCTTACTGGAGTGGAACTAGAACCCTAACGCTGACACTGCCCCACAAATCCTGATTTCCTCCTCATTAACCTTTTATCTTGTCTGCATCGTGATGATAAAACAGTCTAACTGTGATCTTGGATAGTCCTCGCCTCCTTCAGAAGGACCCGAGCTGCTTCAGAACCTCTCTAACTCCCCCTAAAGCCCAGATCTACGGCCTGTTTGCAGTTTCCACAAACACCCTCATGCACATCGGACCCAGACACACTTACATCAGTGATGGCATTCAGCGCCGTGTCTGAGCCGATGCTGAGGTCAGAACCAGGTATATTATTGGAGACCGTCGCCGGGATCATAACCATGGGCACGCAAAACTCTGAGTACTTGTCCCGGGCCGAGGAAAGCTCCAGTAATCCCATGTAGGCCTGCAGCAGTGAGAGCCAGCGTCTTATTGGTTGTTAATGAGGATGGAGAGATAAAAACATGGTAGACAAGGTTAAAGGTCAGAGTGAGGATAGGGGAGGTTTAATGGAAGCGTTCAGGAGAAGATGCATCCATCTTCATCCATGAAGAAAAGCGCTCTCATATCAGCTTTTGCGTTGTTATTTTGCAGCCCGAACTCGCCGAGGCCCATTCAGAGCTGGGATACGAGTCCGAGTGGAAACAAAACCTCGTGATGAGCGTGGCACGTTTCCAAAAAGGGGGAGGGAGGGAGGGGCCGGCTGATGGGAGAAATGCGGTGGGAAATAACAGAGGTCCTCATGGGACAAACAATGTGAAGTGGTGGGAGAAGCCAAGAGGAGAGAGCCGAGCCAAGCATGCGCGCGCACACACGCACACACACACACACACAGGAAGTCCATGTCGTTGCTTGAAAAGACCAAAATTGAGGCAAACTGGGTTTTTTTGTGGTGGGGCTAAGATTTTATCCTGGAGAGTGAAATGAGCAGCAGTCACATCATCACTGAACAGGAAGTTTTGTTAAATTAGGAATTGTCATTATTTTCTGCAGGAGCCGAAACGTTAGAATAATAATCAACAACAGTTTAGTTTCAAGTTAGGAACTGAAGCTCCAGTCTAAAAGCAGTTTTATATTCAGTTTTTACCCCAAAATCCAAAACAATGATCTAAACTCTCAGTGCCGCGTTACTGACCACATCATTCACGATCACGGGGCTCAAACTGTGGATTGTTGTATCCTGATACATTTGGTTCTCAGCTGAAACCAACAAAGAGGTGATTACAAATGAAAGCCAACAAAAGATTCATTTATTGCTCAAGATTAACAATTTTAATGTCTATAACATAATTCTACTAGCTTTACTCAACTTTTGGGAACTTTTGAGACTTTTGTGAAATTTACAGCTTTAGTTTTGTCTTTTTATTTGTGAAAAACAAGAATTTGTTGGGAAAAAACACGACTGGGTGACTCAGACCCATAATTACCACTAATAGCTTCTCTGAGTCTTTATTTCCCTCCTAATAAGCTGGCAATTAAGACTCATCATAAATATGTCTTTAACAGACGTGGGATTTATTTTATCTCCTGATTTTATTTGTTTTGTTTTAATTGCATCTCTTAGAAATAAAAGTGGGCTGAGAGGCTGCAGATGGCTTTTGGGAATGTGGTTAAAATGTATCGCTGGTGTTTAATTAAGCTTCTGGTTGAGTTTTGTTGTTTCTGATCCTTTTATTCTGCAGTTTGACTTTGTAGCGTGGTCACAAATATTCAAGCAACACATGAGACGTGTGTGTGCGTGTGTGTGTGTGCTCGCGCGCATGTGTGTGCACGTGTCTGTGTGTGTGTGTGTGTCTGTGTGTGGGTGTGTGTGTGTGTGTGCGTACATGTGCGTGCGTGTGTGTGCGCACGCGCATGTGTGTGCACGTGTCTGTGTGTGGTGTGTATGCGCGCGTGTGTGGGTGTGCGTGTGTGTGTGTGCGTGCATGTGTGTGCGCACGCGCATGTGTGTGCACGTGTCTGTGTGTGTGTGTAACAGCAAAAAGGTCGAGTCATGTTCTGAAAGCTGAGGGTAAAACAGAGCAAGCTGGTGACGGTTATTAAACTCGGTGGTAAACGGAACATGACAGAAACAAAAAATACGCTGAATAAAGAAAATATAAAAATAAAGCAGATTCCTAAAAACGTTTTAGATTAATCAACACGTCTGCTATTCTTATCCGTAGCTCAGTGATTTTCAAAAGGATGACACACATTTCCAGGTAAATATTGAGAAGTTAACACACAAAGTGGCTCTTACGCACCTCAAAGCCTCCGATCACCAGCAGAGCGTTGATGTTATGGATCCTCATCTGCTCAGCGATCTTATCCAGATGTTTTCCTGGAAGAGTCCTGAAGCGAAACAAGGAACAATTGGGACATTTTACTGTAAATGACCACAATCTTCAGTGTGTTTTCAGTGGGAGCTTTAAGGGTGTTTTGAATCCGCCTAGAATTCTTCAGATTTTAGTTTCTGTGAAACAGAAAGTTCGATAGATTTTAGAAAACACAGGTAAGACAACACGGACAAGTCCAAGTGAGAGTATAAAAACAGACATTCAGAATTTTCATGGATAATGCAGCTACTTTAGTGTGACTCTAACTGAAAAGGTGGCTACACAGCTGCAGCCCGGTCTCAGCTAAAGTCGTACAGAATAAGTCTTTTCATATCTCACCTTTTGGTCCCCAGTAGAGACCCTCCCTGACCGGTCCAACCACCAACATCTCCCCATTTGATCTCTTTAATCTGGTATAAAAAAATACAATTGTTTAAATTTTTGGCACTTTTCAAAGAGGTAATGAATTTATATATCACATTTAAACAAACGTATGAAAAAATCACTGAAATACTGGTTTTGGTCAGATGTGACCCTTTAAAAGCTGCTCAGATTGTGTTCTGCATCTGTTTCTTCAAAGCAGCAGGCCTTGATGATCAAATCTAATTTCTCTCTGTTTTATGAAGGTGGAAACTAATCCAAGCTCAGGATTAGCACAAAACATTTTTTACTTTTTTTGTGTGTGGTACGTACACATGATTGTCTCATGTTATTTTGGCCTCTGAGTGTACAGTTGTGGTCAGAAGTTTACATACACTTGTAAAAAATATAATATAATGGCTCTACTGAGTGTCCCGTTATTTCTAAAACTCTGATTTTTCTCTGATAGAGTGATTGGAACAGATACTTCTTTGTCACAAAAAACATTCATGAAGTTTGGTTCTTTAATGTCTTTATTATGGGTTAACAGAGAAAAGTGATCACATTTGCTGGGTCACAAATATACATACAGCAGTGCTAATATTTGGTTACATGTCCCTTAGCCATTTTCACTTCAATTAGGCGCTTTTGGTAGCCATCCACAAGCTTCTGGCAAGCTTCTGGTTGAATCTTTGACCTCTCCTCTTGACAGAATTGGTGAAGTTCAGTTAAATTTGATGGCTTTCTGACATGGACTTGTTTCTTCAGCACTGTCCACATGTTTTCAATGGGGTTTAAGTCAGGACTTTGGGAAGGCCATTCTAAAACCCTTATTCTAGCCTGATTTAGCCATTCCTTTACCACTTTTGATGTGTGTTTGGGGTCATTGTCCTGTTGGAACACCCAACTGCGCCCAAGACCCAACCTTCGTGCTGATGATTTTAGGTTATGTTGAAGAATGTGAAGGTAATCCTCCTTCTTCATTATCCCATTTACTCTCTGTAAAGCACCAGTTCCATTGGCAGCAAAACAGCCCCACAGCATAATATTCCCACCACCATGCTTGACTGTAGGCATGGTGTTCTTGGGGTTAAAGGCCTCACCTTTTCTCCTCCAAACATATTGCTGGGCATTGTGGCCAAAAAGCTCGATTTTTGTTTCGTCTGACCACAGAACTTTCCTCCAGAAGGTCTTATCTTTGTCCATGTGATCAGCAGCAAACTTCAGTCGAGCCTTAAGGTGCCGCTTTTGGAGCAAGGGCTTCCTTCTTGCACGGCAGCCTCTCAGTCCATGGAGATGCAAAACACGTTTGACTGTGGACAATGACACCTGTGTTCCAGCAGCTTCTAATTCTTGGCAGATCTGCTTTTTGGTGATTCTTGGTTCACTCTTTACCCTCCTGACCAATTTTCTCTCAGCAGCAGGTGATAGCTTGCGTTTTCTTCCTGATCTTGGCAGTGATGAAACAGTGCCATGCACCTTATACTTACAAACAATTGTTTGCACTGTTGCTCTTGGGACCTGCAGCTGCTTTGAAATGGCCCCAAGTGACTTTCCTGACTTGTTCAAGTCAATAATTCGCTTTTTCAGATCCATGCTGAGCTCTTTTGACTTTCCCATTGTAGCGTTTTTGGGCGTTTGTATCCAATGAGCCCTATTTACCTGGCCTAAGAGAAGTCACCAGCTGTAGTCACTCATAATCACTCACAAGAAGTTAAGGGGCCATGCTATGAAGCTCAGTTCACTGACACGTTTCTAAGTCACCAAAATTGCTAGTTCATGTTGCTGTATGTATATTTGTGACCCAGCAAATGTGATCACTTTTCTCTCTTAACCCATAATAAAGACATTAAAGAACCAAACTTCATGAATGTTTTTTGTGACAAAGAAGTATCTGTTCCAATCACTCTATCAGAGAAAAATCAGAGTTTTAGAAATAACGGGACACTCAGTAGAGCCATTATATTATATTTTTTACAAGTGTATGTAAACTTCTGACCACAACTGTATAATCTCCTCCTCTCTCCCTAAAATGTAAGTTCAGTGGAAGAAGTTGATTTTTCGCTTCATACATTATTTGCACTGAGTTTTATTTAAAAATATTGTTGACCATAGATTAGATTTTAAAAAGAGATGCAGGTATGCTCATAGAATCCCACATTATGTATTATTCTTATTGCTTATTTTTGAAGATTAAATAACAGCTGTAAGGTGGTTTTATAAGTATCTCCCCACACCTCTATACAATAATTGAGGTGTGGCAGAATAAGTGAACAGTACAATGCATGCAACACTTAGCTTTTTAGGAGATATTTAGCTTTAGATAGTATTCCTATAGTTCTTAATTTTGCAGTAGCCTTTTTGATTTGTGGTTTCCAAAATAGTTTGTGGTCAATTACGACACCTAAAAATTTACATTCCCAAACTCTATCAATCATTACTAATCATCATTTTCACATTTGTATTGATGCTTCAATTTCCAAATATTATATATTTTGTTTTTTCTAAATTTATTGATAGTTTATTTTTGTCAAACCATTGCTTCAGTTTTATCAGTTCCTCCCTGACAACGTCCAGCAATTTTTCTATATTATCTCCTACACATAATACATTACGAGGAAGCACAAGCCAAAAGCAAGAAACAATAGTGGTCCACGAGTAAACAGAAAAACAACACAATCAGATGGTGCGGCTGAAATTCCCGCCCTGTGTTTTTTTCTGTTGTCTAGCGTCGATGGAGGCGGAGCAGCTCTTTGCTCTGTCGAGCCGAGGATCGTTGCTTCCCTTTTCAGGGACGGCCCGCATTCAACACAGCTCCTCGCTGTCAGCTGAGTTGGACGCAGAGTTGTTGCTGTCAGTAACGGCGAGCAGCACTTGTTGTCATGTTGGAGCTCAGAATCAGGGCGGTAAATGAATCCGCCACCGAGAGGAACTTAAGGCTAATGAGCCACAGTTACAGCCATAGCTCCCTTTATGGGTTCAATTTTAACGTCTAGCTAACGTGCAGAAGAGTGAACAATGAGTTTAGAAATAAAAAAAACTCTTTTTGTGAGTTTAACAGAAACACAAGAGTCGTGTTAGGTTTGTGACTCATAGAAATGTAGAGTTGTGCTCTGTTTCTGTGGACACTGAAGTGAGGTCTCCACAGGTCAGCGCCTCAGACTGCTGCTCAGATTCAGACGCGTGGGTGGGAACTTTTATCGCCGCAATCCAAACCTCAGAAGGGAAAGGCGTGGGCGCTGCTTCCAATCTCATCTCAGGAAGAGGGGCTCATTTATTTAAGCAGCAAGTGTTTCAACAACAGAATCCAGTCAGTGTGAATCTGGGTCAAACCTTCAATTCCTGTTTTAAAACTTTAAAGAAAACAGTGAAATTAAAGAAAAAAGTTGTCTGCTTGGACAAACCTATGAGATCAGAGATGGTGGCTGCTACATTCAGTACATTCAGCCCAGAGGATCATTGGCTGCTCGCTGTCCAGCCTGGAGTACTTAGCATACCCCCGTTATCTCAGCAGGGTTTCCAACATCATTAAGGACAAGTTCCATCCTGGGAACCACTTGTTTCAGCTGTTGCCATCGGGTCGTCGGTACAGATCCCAGAGGACCAGGACAAACCGCTTCAGACAGTTTTTTTTCCCAGTGCTATCATGGCGGTTAACAACAAAAAGAACGTGCTAATTTGAAAGGACATGTTCTTATTTTATCTAATGTTTGCAGATGTAGCCCTGATGGAACCACACAAGCTGCATGGTTCTAATTTTATACGATTTATGAAGGAAGTATTTGTCCAGACTGAATTTTAAATGTTAAGTGTTACGTATCTCTTTCAACTTGCACCTGGGAGTGGCTTCCAAATTTCGTTGTACGAGTGTGTACAGTGACAGTAAAGGATATTCTATTCTATTCTAACGGGACTCGATGGTCTGAAATATCTCTTAGTGGAGCGGGTTTACGACTCAAGGCCAGAGCAAAGATTAAAGGTCACATTTCAGTGGTTTTATCAGCGAGCAGATTCTCTAGAAACAGGAAGAAGCCCTCTGACCAGTAGGTTACAGTTGTCGTCATTCTGACGTGCATCATCTATCGGACCCACCTGGCCTTTATGAAACCCTTCAAATCCGTCATTGACAGCAAACATTTTGTGGCCTTCGGTGATGCCCACCCTGACAGCAGAACGCACGGCGGCGTTCATCCCTGCAGCCGGGGCGCCCACGTTCAGCACCGCCACGTTAAAAGAGCTCTGGAGGTAAAAGCACACATGAATGAGCCTGACGGCCACGAACAGCAGAGGAAGAAGAACCTAACATACGTCACGGCCGTATGTTTAAACACCAAGCTCCAACACATTTTGATGAAACATCATCACACCTCCGAGGTGTGCATGCTGCAATCAGCAAACGGCATGTGTGAAGCTTGGTTTGGTAAAGATGGTACGTCTGCAACGTCTAGTGGCCATGAAGGGCATCCTGTGGTGAGAAGTAAACTAGAAAACTCACTCCTGGTCCTCATCATGGAGGTGTTTTTGCTGTCATAAAAAGCCATCCAGGTTCTCCTCAACTGCCGAGGAGCCTTGCAGCAGAACAGCATCATGCAACAAGCCACATGCTGCTAAAAGACACAGTGAGGCAACAAGTTTCTTTGCTTTCTCGTAACAACCTCCAAATTAGTGTGACTATTTGTTTGACAGTTGCATGAGTCACAGAAAATAGTTCTTTGTGTTTCACTTTTATGAGCTTCTAAAGAAAAAGGCACTCAAGCAGTTTATTTTTCCAGTAAATGGCTGCAGAGTGTCTGACTTTGGAGGCAGTTGAGTCAAACTGGACAGATTTGGAGATGTTTAAACGCTGCCAGACTGCAGGAGACCTTTCCAAGTGAAGCGCATCACAGTTGTCTTTGATGGGGGGGGGGGGGGGGGGGCTACCAGCAACTCTAATGCCTCTTTAGGATGTTTGTGTTTTTATTCTGAAGACAAAAAAGCAAAGAGAGCAAAAAGTAACGAGCACAAACCCTGTTGTTTTGTGGCACTTGCTTATAGACACGGTAAATATGGTAAACCCTGTCTGTGTACAATTAATTAGAGGATTTTATATATATATATACACACATATATATATATATATATATATATATATATATATATATATATATATATATATATATATAAACCACTTAAAGAATTGTGGGAGCTCTGGCTGTAGGTTCACCAGAGCTGAACCACAACCCAACACCTCCAATCAGTCACAGAAATAAAGACTCCATCAGTGTCACAAAAAGGCTACAGCTCCCACAATGCACCTGACTGGGGAGTACCTTATACTAATGTACAAAGGTCAGAGCAGCTGCTGGGAAAGACACATATTAGTGATTAAAACATGCAGTTGTTCTGAATTCCTGTTGTTGGTGTTTGTTTGTTGTGGTGCTTACATTTGGGAGCTCAGAATCTGCTTTGCGGGAGGCGAGCAGTCTGTAGGTACTCAGATTATGTTCAAAGCTCCTGCAGATTGAAAAAGAAAGTTAACCAGTTTGAATAGACTTTGTTTCTGGTGTGTTTTCTATCGAGGAAGCATCTAAGAGAAGCGACACTAACAGACGTGAACATCATCGCAGTTAAACCACCTGAATACATGTTTTGTTCTGTGAAATTTGGTCAGATTAGATGTGACATCTCTGGATTTGGATCTCTGTGCTCATTTAAAATAATAGTGGAAAAGAATTGTTCACTTAGAGTAGGGCTGAGCAATAAATAAAAAAATTATCTTCATGGAAATTCCTGACTTATCGAGAAAAATTTTCCCATGTCAATAAATTTGATTAAAAAACATTTTAAAACGTGTGTAGGTTGGCAGCGTTCATGTCCCTTTAAGAAGCTGTACCACCATGAGTCACGTAAAAATGGTCTTGTTCGAGTTGAGCAGCGCCTCACCTGGAAAACAGACGAGAGCAGATGGACGCAGCAGGGGGAGTGGCTGAAAACCGGCGTTTAAGTTGGACAGATTTCCCTACATGTGTAGCTCACGGGTGACGATGGATGAAGATATCGAGTCAGTGTTCATACTTGTTTAGTTTTTCATTTTGATTCTGGTGCCTGTTAGCAACTGAAACACATCCTCACGTGCTTGTGGATATCATATATTGTACATGAAGACATGACTGTAATAATAAGTAAAGGTTATCAGCTGTAGGTTTAGTGTGTTCATAGGAAACGTGAGAAAATAACAAAACACATTTTTTCTTTATGGCCTATATAGTTGTCATCATCAACGTAACATGATTTACAGAATACACGTGACCAACTAACATTTCATGTTCTACCACCGGATGTTTGGATCAAAATATGATCTTAGATCAGGTGAGAGCCAGGCGTTTCGTCAGGCCCTAGGTTTTGCAGCGGGTGGAGAGAAACTGCATCGCCTTGCTCCAAAATCTGCTGCCACCTTGATCTCACACGGTTATCGTTGCCTACGTAGGCATGATGTCAGAGCAAGTCGGCGTTAAGTCGGACACATATCTAACCGGCGAGCACTGCGCGCTGATCACCGCTGGTCTAATCTGCGCAGAACTGGCTCATCTCGAACACAGTCAATGTGACAACTTAATACACGTGACAGCCCCATCTAGTGGACAACGTTTGATTCTGTGCATACCTGTAGTTACTGTCCATTTATCGTTATCGAGATGAAATCCTCAATATATTGTGATGTTGATTTTAGGCCATATCGCCCAGCCATAACTTAGAGGAAAATTGCATAAACGACAGGTACAGAAAACCTAATTCTCTTCAGACGTCAGAGACTGGGGCCGGCCAATTGATTCTCCTGTGCTCGAACCCTGAACCTTATGCACAGCATCACAGTGTTTTACAGATTGAACTACACAAGGTGACTCTTTTGAATCATTCTAATAGCATTTCATTTTCTTAATAAAATTAATTAAATCTAAATTATACTCTTTTACATGGAGTTCAACCCTGAACCGTATGTACAGTTGTCCTTACCTAAGAGACTGAGCTACACCAGAGGACGCTTCTACAGTGTTTATTAAAGCATTTCATGTTGTCAAACCCTGATTCTTGTGCACACCAACCCATCACATGATAGACTGAGCTACTCAAGTAGATACTAATGGGATGTTTTTTAGAGCATTTCTTCTTCTCAAGAATTCCCATAGACTATAAAATGCCTTTTTTTGGTCTTGTATCAAACTCTGAACTAACTGCAAACCAAACTAATGCCTTACTGATTGAGCTGTAGAGCTACACAAGTAGACACCAGTAATTGTATCTTCTGTCATTTGGCCGTGGCTACAATGTGGGTCATCAACGCCAATGGCTGTGTACAAATTCAGGGGTCATGAGGTCAAATTTTAAGACCAGTGACGTCAAAGCGCCACAACGAAGACTGTCCGAAATTCAAATGAATGTGGTCTTGAAATCCGTTCTTCTTTTCCCTGATTTTGAGAACAGGTGCAGTATAGTCTCCTCACATCTAGGAATCCAGAGATGCACTGCGGGCTATCACACAGATGGATATGAAATACAGCAGCGTTTTCATGTTTTTCAGTACCCCAATTTACTCAAGTCCTGAAGCTAGCTTATGGTGACATGAATTTGGCACAAGCTTTTAGACTTAAAACAAAATAATAACATTATCCTATACCTGCATCTCAGCCTGACATGCAAAATATGCCGACACTACATCTGATGTACAATCTCAAATAGTAACAAAACAAGGAAAAAGTTTACGTGTGTGAGCTCCACTTCTGCAGCTTCTTCTTAGTACGGCAGCAGTTGCTAGGTGACAGGACATCAGCCGAAGTAGGGGTGGGACAAATATTTAAGGCTAGACTGTCCAAATCCACAGCTGTTAACATCCGGTCCCGGAAGAACACGTTCTCCTGAGACCGATGAGGACGGGTACTCATGAGCATGCAACCCCTGAATTTGGACACAGCCTACATGTGAATATGTGTGCATGGGTGATTGGCTGTATGTATTAAAGGTGGTATGTAAATACAGGCCATTTAAGCTCTTTTCTTCCAGGTTTTCATGCTCTTCAGAATTCACATTAAGTTGACAAAAATTATTTTTGTGGGATTCAACCCCGATCCTCATTTGGTAAGACTACTGATGCACAAACGTGCTTCTGGTGACTGCCACAAAGACATGCAGCAGTATGTTCAATAGTTTTACTTCTGAATACACTGTTTGAACAAAGTATGCACAACTTTATTTGTGCCCCACTCTCTCATGCCGGAGACGCTGCTGTAAATGACAACTAAAAACTCTTGATTCAAGAGTGTGCGTGGAGTCTGACAAGAAATCTTCTGTTATGATGAAACATCATGCAGCTTCAAATTTTTGTGCATTTCTTTCAAATAATTTACAACCATGTGCTCCACATGAGTGTCTCAAAAACATGTAATCAAACATACCTGCCGCGCAGTCTGACTGCCTCGTCAAAATTCTTCTCATCCATGGCCTTCTGTACCTCCTGGGTCTGATGACAAAACAAAGCAGAACTGCTTTATCAACAGACCTGTTTTTTACTGTGTGTATGCTAAGTCCAGACGAATGCAGGAGGGTTTTGTTGTAGACTAGAAACATCTCAGCTCAGTTGCACCAAGCGCCACAATCCTCTCTGTTCACTCTGTATGACCCTAACCTTGACCCTTAATTAATTTTAAAAATGCAAAAAATAATGTTTGCCTTTTCATAACTGAGAGTTTTTTATACAAATACAGCCTCTCTGGACAAATGTACATGCTGTATTTTACTAGCCTGGCCTGTCAGACTCCTCCTCTGTTTAATTCTGCACAGAGAAAGAGCCTGGTAGCAAAGCTCAAAAAGTGTCTTAAAGGATATCACAGAATCGCAACATCCCATAACCTGTTAGGCCTCCAGCGTGTGTTAGGGGTGACTTGCAGCTACTACATCAAAATCTAGCTCAACATCTGTAAAATGAACTAAGCTATAGCCATTTTTTTCTGTGAGTTTTCCTTGGTGGCCATCTGACGTGGACTGACATTAAAGATGTCTCAGCTGTAAATGCATAGCAAAAAAGAACATCTGAGCATTTCAACAAAATCTGTCCACTGGTTCATATTTTTGCAAACAGTGCAGACAGTAAATCCTTTGATAAACTTATAAACAAAACAATGTTATTCTTTTAAACAATTATGTGTTGCACCATATGCACACTTACAATCTGAACACACTCCATAAGAGGCAGTCGCACAGCCTCGTTTCCAACTAGAGACACAACACAGGCCGGGGTGTCAGCAGACGCCTCCAGTAACGCCACCACTGCCTCCACGCCCATACGACTGGCCTGGAAAGTTATTTATGGAGGGAATTTTATGCTTGGGGACCAGTCTATTATCTCAAAACTTTTATGATGGAGCAGTTGTGACTCACCAGGATCCTGTCAAAGGCAGATGGTGTACCGCCTCTCTGCACATGGCCCAAGATAGTGACCCGGGTGTCAAGACCCAGGCGACCCACTACCAGCTGTATGCAGATACACCCAAAAGTATTGGTGAAAATTATTAAAATTATTAATCTTAACGGCTATTACACACACACACACACACACACACACACACACATATATATATATATATATATATATATATATATATATATATATATATATATATATATATATGTGTGTGTGTGTGTGTGTGTGTATATATATATATACACACACATATATATATGTGATTATATATATATTTACATATCACAGATAATGTTCAAAAATCATATAAAATTGGTCTTTGTAATAGTTCAAAATAACTTTAAATCAACAGTAAATAAGCAAACTATTCAAGTGTCAAGAACTAAAAAATAACAGAGGAGAAATCATGCAAAACGTCTCCTGTCATGTTGGTGCATGCTAAATGATGCACATGCACAGTAACTTGCAGGAGCAGAAATGAACTTTGGAAAGTAGATGAGTGACAAAGAAGAAATATAAATGATGAAGGGGAAAAATTAAATGAGTGATGTAAAAAAATACTTTTATAATAAAAGCAATGGCCATTTCCCATGTGAAGGAAACCAACATCCCACCAGGAAAAGGAGGAAGTTTCCATGCTTCTGAAGGAAGGTTCAGCGAAGGTTTCTCCCCCATACTTACATCTTTGATATAATCAGGGGTTATTGCCTTGTTGCGGCAATCAATGGCGCCCTCGGCTACAATAATAATGTTCAGCCTTTTCTTATCAGCGCGGTTCTAGAGGAATATAAAAGCACAAGCATTTAAAAACATGACAGAAAAGGCTTTGCACTGCCAAAAGCTGGACTGAACCATGGGGGATGATCTCAGAATAATGATGGTTGCACATGTTGGATTTTTGTTTTTTTATTTTATTTCCAACATCAATGAAACATTCAAATATCACAACAGCAGATTGATTCCTCTGTAACTTGCTAGAGGCCACATTAGACACTAACTTCCACCAGTTGGTCCAGCTTCCAGTTCCCCTCTGTCAGTCTACATTCTGCATTTACTCACATTCTTCACAAAATCAGAGGAAATGTGTTGTCCTTGACTGTCAATGGCCCCTTCAGCAACTATGATAATGTTCAACCTGGAACCCCGAGATCGATTCTGGACAACAGTAAACACATTCATGTGAGATCTGCTGGAATGCAATCAATGTCCTTAGTTAAAGGAGACACATTATGTTACACTCACTTTCTGTTTCCCTTTGTGCTGCCATGTGGGTCTCTACTTTATCAACACTCCAAATGTGACTAAAAGCCACCCATCTGCTTTGTGTCAGTGTTAGAATAAAAGGAATTTTTCGATTCTACAATTTCAAAAAGTCTCTTATTGTCACATTAAGAGAAATTAGCATGAAATAACCCATCATGGATATTATTTGTGCAATTGTTGTACAAAATGACTTGCTGTGGCATTAATTGCACTAATAGAACGTCCAAGGAGTCTCCACTTCATCTTTTTTTGGTAAGTAAAATTATATTTATGTATTTGAGGTCACTGCCGAGCTGAGCTTAGATTTTAACATGTACTGTTTAACCATGAAAATCCCCTCAAAAACGTGTTATTGGAGCATATGGAAATGAATTGTCCAGTATATATGTCGATGGCACACACACACACACACACACAGCCTGAAGCGCAGAATACGGAATGCAGAATATCAGCAGGGGGACAGATTGAGACAGAATGTCATGCGTCTGTGACAGTGTGTGTCCTGTCACTGTGACCCGATTGATCATGCGCCCTGGCTACTTGGACAAGGAAGATCCCTGTTTGGGTGACTGGTTAGCGTGCGTGGCTTTCATCCAGAAGTCTGGGGATCGAATCCTGATTGGACCGTTTTTTTAATGTCCGCCACAGATCTCTGATGAATTCACAAAATTGACGGCTTCAGCAACGTTGTGCCACTCCGTGGATTTTCTCTTATTTGTTTTGCAAAAGCACTTCCTTTCATTTCTCCACCTCACCCACAAGTACCTCAATGTCTGCTTCTGTGAAATTGCACTGCCTTGATCTGTAGTCACCATGTCATTGGCGGAGCGCTGCAACAGCCGGCTAATGTATATGCATAAGATCCACAAGGCACTTTGCATTGACTATTTATGGCAGTAAGTGGGTGTGGTGAGGGCGGGATGTGATGTGCAATGGAATTAAGAACACCTTAGGTATGCAGATTGTAACTTAAAAGTAACTCATTTTTGTAAGTTAGAACCACTCAATTTGCATTTGAATCTGTTGACAGTAACGATGTTTGCAGACATGAAATTTGAAACCTTCTCATTAGATTAAGCAATTTGAAAAGGTAATTCTTATTGTGTATTAACAAAGAAAACAAATGTATGCATACAGTTAAAGTGAATGACATTCTTTTCATTCATCACAAGTAAAACCTACCCAGATATGCATTACATTTATTTACATAAAGTGATTCTGTGTTGCAATGGATAGCGCATTGGACTACTAGTTCATGAGCAAGATGCAATTCAAAGGTTGTGGGTACAAGTCCCACCAGAATCATTTATTCTACATCTTTGCCAATATTGGTTGCGTGTAAAGTTTTTTGAGAACTGTCTTTCTGCCTTTCCATGTACTTTGCAAAGTTATAGTGAATGTCAAGTCTGTTGATTTGTGCAAGGGAATTAATAACACCATAGTTATTATGATTGTAACTTAAAAGTAAGTCTTTTTAACTTAGAACCACTAAATTTGGCATTTGAATCTCTTGACAATCACTATGTTTGGAGACATGAAATTTGAAACCTTCGAATTAGATTAAACAATTTGAAAAGGTCATTTTTTATGTACTAACATTGAAAACAAATGTATGCATACATTTGATGTGAATAAAAATCTTTTCATTCATCACAAGTAAATTCTTCCCAAGTATGCACGAGCCTTGCTGCATAAAGTGGATCTGTGGTGCAACGGATAGCACATTGGACTTCTAGTTGAGAATTAAAATGCAAATCAAAGGTTGTGTATTCAAGTCCCACCAGAGTAATTTATTCTACAACTGAAACATGATTACTTGCATGTAAGGTTTTTTGAGAACTTTCTTTCTGCCTTTCCTTGCACTTTGCAAAGCTATAGTGAATGACAAGTCTGTTGATGTGCAAGGGAATTAATAACACCATAGGTATGCAGATTGTAACATAAAAATAACAAATTTTATTAAATTAAAACCAATAAATTTGGCATTTGAATCTCTTGACAAGAACTGTGTTTGGAGACATGAAATTTGAAACCTTCGCATTAGGTTAAACAATTGGAAAATGATTTTTTTTTATGTACTAACATTTAAAACAAAGGTATGCATAAATTTGATGTGATTAAAAATCTTTTCATTCATCACAAGTAAAACCCAACCAAATATGATGCCTTTATGCAAATAGTGTCTCTGTGGTGCAAAGGATAGGGCATTGGCCTCTTAGTTTAGAATAAAGATCCATTTCAAAGGAGATCGGTTCAAGTCCCACCAGTGTCAATTTTCTACATCTCTGACATGATTAGTTGCATGTAAGGTATTTTGAGAACATTCTTTCTGCCTTTCCATGTACTTAGCAAAGTTATAGTGAATGGCAAGTCGTTTGATTTGTACAAGGGAACTAATAACACCATATGTATTCAGATTATAACTAAAAATGGACTCATTTGTTTAAGTTAGAACCACGAAATTTGGCATTTGAACCTCTTCACAATAACTATGTTTCGAGACATAAAATTTGAAACTTCCAAATTAGATTAAACAATTTGAAAAGGTCATTTTTTATGTACTAACATTGAAAACAGATGTATGCATACATTTGATGTGAATGAAAATCTTTTCATACATCATAAGTTAAACCTACCCAGACATGCATGAGCCTTTCTGCATAAAGTGACTCTGTGGTGCAATGGATAGCGCATTGGACTTCTAGTTGAGAACCAATTTGCAATTCAAAGGCTGTGTGTTCAAGTCCCATCAGAGTCATTTATTCTACGTCTCAAACATGATAAGTTGCATGTAAGGTTTTTTGAGAACTTTCTTTCTGCCTTTCCTTGTACTTTGCAAAGTACTTGCCAATAACTGTGTTTGAGACATGAAATTTGAAACCTTCAAATTAGATTAAACAATTTGAAAAGGTCATTTTTTATGTACTAACATTGAAAACAAATGTATGAATACATTTGATGTGAATAAAAATATTTTCATTCATCACAAGTAAAACCTACCCAGACATGCATAAAGTGGCTCTGTGGTGCAATGGATAGGGCATGGGACTTCTAGTAGAAAACCAAGATGTAATAGAAAAGTAGTGTGTCAAGTCCCATCAGAGTCATTAATTTTAGATCTACGTCTCTGACCCAACTAGTTGCAAGTAACGTTTTTGAGAAATTTTTTCTACCTTTTCTTTTAATTTGCAAAGTATTTATGAATCACAAGACTGCTGATGTGCAAGGCACTGAAAAATGCATTAGGTTTGCAGATTATCCTTTGAAATTAACACATTTTTAAAGTTGAGTTCCAGTAGAACCGTTGAAATACCCTTTTCGGTATTTTGACAGTAAGTATGATTAGAGACATGTTGGATGAATCTTTTTCATTACACCAAAGTTGCAGTGTGTGAGAATAAAGTACCCTTTCTACAGGGAAATAATCCCAAAATGGTCTAATGTCTCAATCATGTTGGAAGGAAGGTTATACTGAAACAATATTTAGATCCTAGCTGGCTATGGGGGGTTGTCATTTTTTCTCCTTTCATAATTAAAGAAGGAGGGACATAGTAACTTTTCCATTAGTGAGTGTGGGTTGCTATGCCTCCTGTGAGCTAATGCTGCAGTGCCGGCATTTGTAAAAAGGCCACCGGTGCTGGCAAAAAGCTGCAGAAATGTAGAATTAAAGCCGGTGACTGAAGCGACCCAAAAGTTATTTCTTGTTTCTGTAAGAAGACACGGCATCTTTTAGTTTTACTCTAATATCGGGTAAAGAAGACTAAAGGCTAGTTGTTCACAACTATTAAAAACTAGATAACAACATGACGGTAAAAATAACATTTTCTCTATACTGGAGGCATATTACCATAATAAGTGTAGTTTTACTCTGCTACCCACAGTAAAACACCCAAGAGTACTAGCACCAGCTATGACAATGTATTTATCTACTTATCAACTTACTGTGCATGAGTGGTCTTCGCTTCTAATCTAGAATCTTCTGGTGCTGATCTGGCTAACTGGCAACAGCCATGAAACTCACAAAACAGGAGTGAGAGAGTGACAGCAGTAACCAAATTTGACCACATGATGTCATCTTACTTTATTCTTACACATTGCACCTTTAAACAATTTACAAAGGTATTTAATTTATTCGTTATATATTGAACCTACATATTTGTCATTTGAGGCTCACTGTTATATGTTTTGTTTTTATTGGTCCTTGTGAAGCACTTTTGGAGATTTCTTTACATGATAAGTGCTATAGAGGTTAACTTAACTCACTTTCTCTAAACTAGCTAAACAGCAGCAGCAGTGGAAACTGCGTGTGCAACTTTTTGCGATTACTTACACATGTTTCTGACTCAAAATGAGTTTAAACCTAAACAAGCAGACTTACCTCTGACAGTTTCTGACACATATTGTCTTCCCAGCCATCTTCAGGAGGCATCTCTGGGAAAAAAACCCAGTCTGCTCCACAAGCCAGGGCGCTGACGAGGGCCAGGTATCTGAACACACACAGAGATACACACATTAAAGCTCAGATTACTAGATTTTACTCAAGTAGTATGTATCAGTACTTTATGATAGAGTAGCAAAGGTCCTGGTCGGGTCATACCAAAGACTTTGAAAAAATGGGACCCAATGCCTCCCTGCTTGACACTCAGCATTAAGGGGTTGGATTGGGGGGTTAAACCACCAAATGGTTCCCGAGCGTGGCTGTGTCTGCAGCTCACCGCTCCCCCAGGGGATGGGTCAAATGCGGAGAACAAATTTCACACACACATCAGTGTGTGTGACAATTGATGGGACTTTAACTTAACTTTAACTTTTAACAAAGATGACTGGAAACAAATAGAAAATTTTGAAAACAATGAAAGCATTGATTTGTGATATTTGTGAGTAATATATAATGTTCAGCTTATGTTCAGTGTTTTGGTGCTTTTAATTCACCCGCAGTGCCTGCCCATGACCTCCAACACAAACGTCCTCTGGTGGCTGGAAGAAGCAAAAAAACGTCTAAACCACGAGGCTTGAAGATTTTAGTGTGTATTTGTAGCAATGAGTTTTAATATGTACCTCTGAGCAGTGGTCATGATGGCATCCACCACCTCGATGATGCGATGGAGGGCAGAGTCAGTGCCGATAGTCATGTCAGTGCCGCAAAAGTCGTTGTCAATGGAGCCGACCATGCCGACAATGTGAAGCACGGAGTTACGACGGACTGCCTCTTCGTCTATGAGACCTGAACAACAAAGCAAGATTGTCTATGGCATCTGTAAAGTTAGCGTGTTAAAGGGCACTGTCTACAGCGTGTAATCACCTTGCTCGAGGAGCTCGTTCAGCAGGCCACTCCATTCCTCCTTAAACAGGTTGGCTCCAGTCAAGCTGCCGTCTCCTCCGATCACGCACAGATTGGTGATGCCACGCTGCACCAGATTGTGAGCAGCTTTCAAACGTCCCTCGTGAGTCCGAAACTCTTTACAGCGGGCACTGCCGATGACTGTGCCACCCTGAAGACATAAAGCAATGCTGGTGAAATCAAAGCTGTGTCTTCTACACCTCAGTTATTTATTAACCAAGTTAAACAGCAGTTTCTTTAGCTAAAAGTTTTGTTGCAGGGGAACATCATCAGGCTTTGATCCAAACCTTGTAAAACTGAGGTGTATGAAGCAGGTGCACTAATGCTGATGGTGTTAGCCATAACCCAGATCTGAGCCCATGGCAGAAGAACAAACCCAACCAGCCAGACATGGATGCAGTAACAACCCAACGTTTCAGAAATAAGACTGAGATGCTCCCGGTGAATCCAGTGAACTGAGACAGCATCATCTCACATAGAAAAAGGGCTCATTTCTTATGATTATTTTATTAAATTATGTTTATTTTCAGAGGAAACCTTTTCACAATATTTGCTTTAAAAACTGAGATTAGTAATAAATGTCTTTTTCTGCTGTTTCAGTCCCCTGGAGGTCGAAGGTCATTACTAAACTGCAGGCGTAGCTGCTGGAACTTCCTGATTAATGTTTAATCTCGGGTTAGTCGATACGGTGTGTCTGATTCATGTGTTACTTTGCTTTCATTTTATTAAATCGTGTTCAGAGGCATCTCCTCCTCCATTTAGGGGCTGCTTTCCGTATGGTTGGACTTCTCGCTCATCCCTCCCTGGTGTTTAAGCTACCAGCAGGAGGACGTGTGAAGAGGCCATGACTAAGAGCTGAAGCTGAGACATCCTTGTGTTCACGGGAAGGTCTTTTCAAGCAGAACAAGGGGCACCGATCCGCATTAGCTCACGGGGTCCCAGGCATCCTGATCAGCAGGAACCCTAAACTTAATCAAACCAAAACTCCACCAGCAGAGCAGCTAAAGAGAGCAGAAAGGGTCCTTTCCCTTTTTGTGTAACTTTTTATTTCTCCCTCAGCTGGATGTCTCTAAATCAGACAACCAACATAAACATACAGGTCTGCTAACACCAATGAGACTAAGTTCATTCAAACATCTAAAGTGCAGTTGCTGTGTTCACCGACCTGCAGAGGAGACTCCTCTGCTGATTGCACCAAACTCTGAGTGATAATTAGAGCATCAACAAAAACTCGGCTTCATTAATGCAAACTTTGTTTGTGTCGCCAGTTTCGGCACAAAACAGCGTCATTGTTTCCAGCGGGCAGAGGGAAACATGGAGTGTGTATGTGACCTGAAGCATAAGCATGAGGGTTTGGGCTCACCACTTGCAGCATGCTGGAGACGCTTTCCCACGTTGCCTCTTTGATGTTATCCCCACCGTCCACCATCCCCTGGTACCCCTGAGAGGAAAAACAAGACACATAAGCATAAAAACATCCAAACACCAAATAAATTAGCTTTACTTAACACACAAGTATGTTTGTTAAAAGCAACATTACAGATTACACTTTTGTTTCGATGGTCTAAGTTACAAAGGTTATTCTGCTGATAAACGCTCATAAACAGCTGATTTGTTGTTCAGACTTTTTCCTTTTAGATAACATTCTCATGAAATCATAGTGGTCAGATGTGCTTGTGTCCCGCACAGAAGAAGTGTATAAGCTGGCCAATCAGAGCTGTTGACCCTTAAAGAGACAGAACCTGGAGGCTGTGGGACACGAACTGCATTTAAAATCATAATCAAAGCCAGAAAACCTGCTGAACTGAATGAAGAGAAGACATTCTGCCCAGAAGGGAAGCTCCATTGCTCTGAGTGGTGGTTATCCACAGTTCTGTGGTGGTGAAGGATGGATCCTGCCTCCGATAATCTAATTAGAACCAGACTGGGACCAGATCAGACCTACCTGCTCTTGTTCCTGCTCTTATGTTGGCTACAGAAAAGGAGGAAATGTTGATGCTTTGACTTCAGTGATTAGTTCCGGTTTAATGCATGCTGATGAATTCCTGTTGGGATAACAGTTCACCTGGATTTGTTGTGATTCATGCACATTTTAGCCTTTATTTACAACACGGTGATTCAGGGAAAAAGTTGGGACAAATTTTCTCCAAACACTGAAAACACGAAGAAGGTTTAGAACAATGAGTTCTGATCTTTAGACAAACAGCTGCTCAAGGAGCGATAGCTCCGCATGTCAGGTCTCTGACGCTTAACGCCGTTCTGAATCTGATCCCCAAACAGCTTCACATCGATCCACACCTTCAGGAATGTCTTTGTGACATTTGACATGTGGACCAGGACAACAGAGACCCTAACGGCCCAGAGGACGGAGGTTGGTGTTTGATCTGTAAACCAGCTTCTCTCGCTACTCGTTTCTCCGTATTTTCTGTCTGAATTGAGAAATCTTCGATGGGAAGGGAATCCCGAACCCCGGACGGTGGCGACCCTCCAGCAGCAGAACCACAGCTGTCCAACAACCAGCAGGGGACAACGAGACTTATGAAGGGTTAAATCTCTCTGTGGTGAAAAAGACGTCAAAGCTAAAGGAAATGTGACATAAACGCTGAGTTTCTAATGATCTAAATAAAAGTCTTAAAAGTTAAATAGTAAAAAAGCACTTTTTCTAAATCTAAAGACATAATTGAGCCATTAAACAAAAACTTTAGTGCAACAAAGACAAAATTCTACAATTATTTTTAGTTTTAAAAACTTCTGAACATTTATATTTATTTCTTTAATGGGTCACTGTAACAAAATATGTGGTGGTTAACTATCAGCAAAGGTCAGGATCCATTTATAGCTGCCTCCATACTGCTGCGGTATTTGCCCTTCACCTGTTAGCATTTGCACATCTTCATTAAACTGCGTGTATAACAACACCAAGATGAGTGACCGCGATGATTATTTAAATGCACAAACTGTGGGAAATGGTCGGATTTGTTCATTTTAACTAATGAAAGGAAAAGCTCGGGCTGGAAAATGCTGCTCTGGGCTCTGAAGTCCTCCTTCATCTTAATGAAAAATTGATTTAATCTACTAGAGAAGCTGCAGACTCTCCTAAACCCCGAGTCCCGTCTCACCTCGTGGATGAAGTAGACCTTTGCTCCCACGTAGATCCCCATCCGGACCACAGCCCGGACCGCTCCATTCATTCCTGGAAACAGAAAGATCAGAGGTAATCTGAATACTTTTGTAAGGATTATGGATCAGATCTTCCTTACAGAATCTCAGTTTCAGGCTGACTAGTGAACCATGTTGTTTGTTTTGCCCAAAACAACACCTGATGGGTCATTTTACACCACGCCGATCCTTAATCTGAAAAACGCGTCTCTATTTAACACCAAATGGAACAAAATGCTTCAAACAGCATAAAACATGCTTGAATTGCTCCTGATTTTTCCATGTTTACTAGACCGGAGCCACAAACTCCGTAACAAGGTGGTGTGTGATCGTGCGTTGAGGATTAACTTGTGTTGGATCTCTGGGGTCGACCCCATTTACTCTCTCAGAAAGATGAAAATAGCAGCCTGAACGGGGGAGTGGCGACACACAGGCAGAAAAGACGACGTGAAGATTAAAGTGGTCCAAATGAAGAGAGAAGCTGAGAGGAGGAAACCAGGAAGAGTGATGCTGAGGACGCTGCGCCAAAAACACAACAGTTGGTCAGAGCACTTTAAATCTGAGTCTGGCGTTACGCAGCTTCTGTTTCAGAGGAAAAGAGGCTGTTCTGGTAGATCTGCTGATCCACTGATGGAAAGATCTGATTCAGCAGAACAGAGCAAATAAGAAACATTCAACAAGAACTTCAGAACTCCAGAAAGTGGTTGTTATGTTTTACAGCTGAGATTAAAGGTTCACATGTAAATCTGAGACGGTTTCCTGTGGTGCTGATGGGGGTGGCTTGCCACCTCCGGGTCGGGGGAGAGGTCCTACCTCAAGTGGAGGAGTTTAAGTATCTCGGGGTCTTGTTCACGAGTGAGGGTAGGAGGGATCGGGAGATCGACAGGCGGATTGGTTCGGCGTCTGCAGTGAAGCGGACGCTGAGCCGATCTGTCGTGGGGAAGAGGGAGCTGAGCCAGAAAGCCAGGCTCTCGATTTACCGGTCGATCTACGTCCCAATCCTCACCTATGGTCATGAGCTTTGGGTAATGACCGAAAGAACGAGATCGCGGATACAAGCGGCCGAAATGAGTTTCCTCCGTAGGGTGGCCGGGCTCAGCCTTAGAGATAGGGTGAGGAGCTCGGACATTCGGGAGGGACTCGGAGTAGAACCGCTGCTCCTCCGGATCGAAAGGAGCCAGTTGAGGTGGTTTGGGCATCTGGTCAGGATGCCTCCTGGACGCCTCCCCGGGGAGGTGTTTCGGGCATGTCCTGCCGGCAGAAGGCCCCCGGGTCGACCCAGGACACGTTGGAGAGGTTACATCTCCAATCTGGTCCGGGAACGCCTTGGGGTCCTGCCGGAGGAGCTGGTGGACAAGGCCGGGGAGAGGACGGCCTGGAGCTCCCTAATTGGGATGCTGCCCCCGCGACCCGGACCCGGATAAGCGGAGGAAGACGAAGACGAAGCTGATGGGGGTAATCCCTCTGGTCCTCGTCGGCTTTGGCCTCACACACTTCATGACCTGAACTCTAGGAAATCCCACCGATGTGATTGTTCTATTAGAACATGTGTTGATCCTTTCTATTGTAGCAATGTAGAAATAAATCTGACATATTCTTACTTCCTGTTCATCCTGCCACACCTAGTTGTTTCTCACCAGTTTCTGCCAGACGTGTCTGTTTTTGTTAACTTTTCCATCTCTGCTCAGCTTCTGATTGGTTGCTTTCTGGGTTTGACACATTTCTCTCATTGGGGAAGTTCAGAGGAGATAACTGTGAAACTGTTTCATCTAAAAGTTCAGCCTAATCTCTTCAGGATATGTAGCGATCAGAGCATGAATCTGGAGAGCCGTGTTAGTCGTGATTATTGTAAAAATTGGGTATGACACCTGTTTTTGGCAGTGTGTGTGTGTGTTTGGAGCACAGCAGGAAAAAGCTGCTCCTCACAGCCAGCAGGACTCACGCCACCTCCCACAGCCCATTCCCTTCTCCGACCCTGCAGCGTGCACAAAGCATCAAGCTTTATACTCTCCTCCGACGTGGTCACAAGGACTCGTTCAGGGACTTGATGGAAAAAAGCAAGGCCAGAGCTAAAGATCAGCATTTCTACTGTTTACCTTCAATCACTGATGGAGAAAAAATAAATCCATACATGAGTTTAAAGGTGAGGTCCCGTTAGTCATCACACATGGTGAAACTCATCTCTGCACCTGACCCATCCCTGTGGGGAGCGGGGAGCTGCAGCAGTAGCTGCGCTCGGGAGCCCTGACCCTAAACAGCTTCATGTACAAGATTAGCTACTTGATTCAGAAACAATCTTATTTATTAGGATTTTTTAAATGTTTTTAAGAAAAGTTCAAGTTGAGAAAGGTTCTGTTGACATTGTAGGAAATAGAAAAAAATGCACAGAGGTGGAAATGAAGGTAAAAATAATATAAACCCTTTTAAAATACGACAATTCATTTTCTTTTTTTCATCCAAGGATCTTCGGTACAATTAAATTAAATTAAATTAAAATACAATAAAATAAAATAAAATTGTATTTATTTAATTTAATTTTATTTTATTTTATTTAGCTGAAACCTGATAGGGAACAACATAGAAGCAAATAAATCAAGATGGTGCCAACATAAGTTTCTTTTTACGTCCTTAAAACAGCATTTTTTTTTATCTGGAATGAGTAAAAAACAGTATTTTCTCTCAGCTTTCAGTCATTTTAAACAATTGCCACTCCTCATTTTAAAAAATCCATATTATGGACAGTCATTACAACGTTTTCCTCTGAGTCTCAAAAGCATCCCAGAAGGTAAAAGATCCGGTATAATGAGATCTGGCTGTCCTCGGCACATCCACACTAACAAAATAAACCTTTTCAGAATTTCTGAATCCTGGAAACTCTGACACAATAAGTGGATTTGTGCACATTTCCATATAAGAGCAAACACCAGTCGGACTTGTCTCCACATTCCTACATAAACTATTCTTCATCTATTTCCTGCTATGAGGAATGCGATAACATCTGTGCCTGGAAGCTCTTGTTTTTGTGTTTTTTCCTTCCCGGTTGGCTCTTCTTAACCAATTCAGATAAAACCTGAATTTGTCGCTGCTTTAGTATATGATACTCACAACACCTGCAGAGTTTCAAACTCACCTTGTTTTGGGAATAGTTGGACTTATGGTGGTTTGATGTCATGTTATTGTGCAGAATCCTGCAGGATCTGTTAGCGCTCAGCGTGTTTGTTGGACATGACTTCCAGCTACGACCACATCTGAGCCCAATCTGTCAAACTCATCATTAGTGTTTAATTGGGCTGATTAGCTGCTGCAGCCAGGTTGTTTCCAACAATACATCAGCTGTAGGTGTTATTATTAATTTTATCTTTTTTTATTTATATAATTATTTTATTTTATTTTAAATCTAGTTTTTTAGCAGGATCATCACTTTAACCAGGTCAGCTGCTTGCTACAGTTTATTTGAGTCTATGTTTTTATTTAAAGGGACTTTACGGACTTTTGAATTTTTATGCTCGCGATTGCCCCCTCAGGCCAAAAGCGTATCAGCAGTTTCAATAGTAGGCTCGTGCACGAGGCGCGCATGCTGTACGTGCACACTCCTTAACGAAAATAACAGCTGAGATAGTCCCGTGTGTGTGTGTGTGTGTGTGTGTGTGTGTGTGTGTGTGTGTGTGTGTGTGTGTGTGTGTGTGTGTGTGTGTGTGTGTGTGTGTGTGTGTGTGTGTGTGTTTGTGTGTGTGTGTGGCCCGGAGGACAGAGGACAGAAGAACACGCAGCTAATTAATTAAATAATTTGGTTCTGTACCTTTCTCTTCAGCACAGCCGACAAAGGTTTATGATGGGTCAGTCCTCCTGCATGCTCAGATCATTCCCTTCCCTTGCTTGAAAAATTGTTCCAAAATGAAAGTTGAACCCACATCTTTTTTATCTGTGAATTCAATGCCGTTCGGCGAGTCTCAAATAAAAATTTGGGCATCTTACTGTAAAAAAAATACCATTAATGTAAAAAAGAAACTCTAAATGAACTATGTTCCCACCGAGAATCAAACCCAGGTCTTCTGCATGGCAGTCAGACATCTTACAAGGTGAGCTACACTCTAGGAACATTCACATTATCTGTAACTTTTATATCGTTGATGACAGCTGAAACAACGTCAAACCAAAGAACGGTTCGAATCGAAAATAGCTATTTTGTTGCTAATTTGCAGGAAATATCTAGAAGAAAGTTCTACAGAAAGTAGCTAAGGGTCCTCAGAAAGGTAGCTAGGTTCATCACTAGGCGTTAGGAACAGCGACAAAGTCGCTCAGTTGGCACTGCCTCTCTCTCTGCTGCTAAAGCTACTGATAGCAAATGCTACGGGCGATGCCTGAGCGTGAACGCGCATGAAGCAGCCTGCTCGACCCGAGCAGCTCTCTTTTTCTGTGATTTTACAGAAAAACAGGCAATCACAGTAAAAATGCCAGGGCTCATTCTACAGGACCAGGGCATTGCAGGAGAATGTATGAAGAAGAAATTTATTATTTCTATACATGTTTTGGCTGTCAAACTTCCATAATGCCCCTTTAAGTAAGAACTAAACTTAACTAAAAAATAAACAATTACGGGGATTTTCAAATAGAAAGTTAAACATTATTACCTTAATAACATTATTCATATTACATAATCCTTATGGGACTTGTTTTTTCTTGGAGAGTAAGTTAACGAGTTAAAACACAGGAAATGATCCATCAGTTGAAATATTAGCATTATTGTTTATAAACTCTATTGTTCAGCTGTTTCCCTGAATGCTTCAATTCTAATGAAATAATCTAACCCTAACCCTCTAAGATGAAGGCAGCAGCCATGATGTCCTGATCCGCCGACAGGAAAAGAGAATCAACACCTGGTTCAGCTAGCTGTGGTGTTGCTATGGGAACTGGAGTGAGCTGATTGGTGTCAGGGACCAAAGCAAACATGTGAAAGTGTGTTGGGACCACACAACCTTAATGACTTCTAGAGGAATCAGTACAAGGAATGAATCTGTGATTTGAACAGATGGTGATGAGCAACGTGGTGGTTTACAGTGAGTCGTGTTTATCAGGAGCCGGGTCAGAGGACTCAACCCATCAGGGAAGCTCTGAGTTCCACCCATCGACATATATACTGGATAATTCATTTCCATAGGCTCCAATAACAAGTTTTTGAGGGGAAATGGGAGGTGGCCACCACCGCCATTTTGACCGTGTCACAGGTTCCGTCCAACCCAGACAATTCCATAAAAGGGAAGAGAGGAGGAGCTGAGGGTGGGGCTGTAAGGCTGGGATCAACTAACGACACCCGGTCGAACTAGCTACAAGCTAACCTGATGCTAACCCTGGCTAACCGAAAGCTAACGTGGAGGTGGGAGCCGAGCTAACGGATGTAGCCACCACCACCTTTAACCCCATCCGGTTGCTGTCCACCACCTGGAGCTTTTCAGTCGTGGGATTTTTGCACCACAGCATTTAGACATACATTTAGCGACAAGGTGAAAATGTTTGTTCTGCTGCTTTTGGATTTTTATTCTTCTAATTTTTAATCTTGGTGAAGAAGCAGAGGTGCACAATGATCTGTTTCATTCCTCCTGGTTTTAGCTTTTGTCTCTCACTCGCTCATCTAAACCACTTTTCCTCACCATGGTCTCTGGGAGCTGGTGTTGAACTCCAGCAGTCACCAGGCAGGGGACACCATGGACAGGTCCATTAAAGAGACACATGGAGACAAACAACCAGCCACACACTGGGGACAACTTCAGAGTCCTAACCTAAGGTGCATGCGTCTGTACTGTGGGAGGAAACTGGAGAACTCTCTTAGCATGGGGAGAGCATGCTAAGGTCATGCAGAAGGTCACACTGAGACTGCCATCAAACCACTTCTGGCCTTAAAGCAACCAGATGGTGCATCAAGATTAGTACCTTCATCAGAAACCTGCCATATCAGTCCACTACGTGTCTGCCCCCTGTTGGAGGATGGTGAGGCTAGTTTTATTTGTTTTATTGTTAAATGATGACATAATAAATTAAAGCGGGATGGTCCAACGGCTGCTTTCAGTCTGATAATTGGATTTTTTTAGACAAATATAAGAGAATAAATATTTTCTCCACAACATATTTATAATAATTTATGTTATAACTTTAAGAGGCACAAAAATGCTTTAAGCTCATTTGTGTTTGAATTTTAACATTTTAGCTTTAAAAAAATTAAAAGTGAGAAGATCCCTCCAGAGCAGCTCTGGTCTTTTACAGAATTCCCTTCTCATTTGTGCATCATTTCTCTGAACATGTAAATCAGAAAATAAGGTCAAATGGAAGTTGGAGGAGGCAGAAGCGGCGACACGAGAAGAACTTATGGAATACACCAGAAGGTTATTAAGCAGATAAATCTGGTTGATGGTGAGGAACCTCCAGGAAGAGCCTGATGAGTCTGACTGCATCACTTTCACACAGTTATAATTACATCTGATGCAGCTGCCACCAGGAGGAAGCGTGCTACAACAAAGGCCAGCTGTGATGTACAGCAGAGGCTCTGACACTGAGAAAGAGCACTCCAAAAACAACCTATAGGCCCACGGTGTTGGGTGACAGCCCGGACCAACAATAGCTGAGGCGTCAGAGGTGCATGTGCATCCTGGATGCAAAAGTACAACATGTTCTCTGCCTGTGAAGAGCCCGGTGATTAAATCCATGCATTCACATGTTTCATGCGTAACACATACACAATACAGGGATGCCATTAAGGCATTGATTATCTATAAATCACCACTAAATAGGTTATTAATGATGTTTAGTTAAATACTGAAAACAATGTTGATTTTCACCAAATAAAGCTTTATTTTGACCATCTGGCTCATGATTTCATGAGATTTATTCCCTAAATGCGTATGTTCTTCGGACTGTTTCCCTAAACACTCTCCTTATTTGCTTGACCTTCAGTGACAGGGAAAAGAGGAAGTCAGTGAAGGTGACAAGAAATCAAACCCAGGTTTCTTCAAAGCAAAAGCTCACGTAGGCTAAAGTGGAGGAACGCAGCTTTATTTTGAAGGGTTAAATCGGAAGTAGGCAGTTGGGTGAGATGACGAGTCGTGACTCAGCCGGGGTGACGCAACAGTCCTGTGTTAAAAAGCCCCTTTAGTGCCAGACAGGAGGCCTGAGCGGGTTCATCTCTCATCTGATGAACAAATGCAGTCGCCCTGTGACTTTTGTAAGGACTCTGCGCACTGGTGGGTTTTCTGGTTGATAAACATGAAACATGTCATTAAATAAGTGATTACAACACCGGTGAGGTGGTCTGTGGCACGGTGGGGCGCACGCACCTGCAGCTCTCACTTGTTGATGCTCCTGAGAGCAGAATAACAACTTCACTGCTGTGTTTTGCCGCAGCATCCGGGCGGAATGTGCAGCAGCGCGGGAGCTGTTGCGTAACACCGCTGACAGGCTGGAGACAGCGGCTATCACCGACAGGGCAGGGGGGGACACTTGTCTAGAGACATGGACCCACTCGGATTAAGACACTTCTCCCTCCCCATCCCGCTAATGCGGCGAGAAAAGAGCCGCACCTTGTTCCCGTCTCCTCAGGAATGCGCAATTATTAGAGATGATTAACCCCATGAATCAATTTCCGGACACAACATTTGTTTTGGCGCATTTTCCTAATTAACTAATAAATGTGCTCTAAAAGTGCGCAGAATACGATGTCCTGAAAAAACTGGTTGCTGTCCTATTCCTATTCTGTTCCGCCCTCCCGCTGAGTCCCGGCTTCTCCGGCTGCAGAACCGAGCGCTCCAAACGGAACAACGCGTTACCTTGAGCATCTCCGCCGCTGGTCAGAACCGCGATGGATTTACCGGCACCGGACAGGTTCTCCACGAACTTGCGGGTGTCCTGCCGCCTCGGTCCCGTCATGGTTCCGGTCATCTCTGCTCCGTGTCTAAGAACCTCCCGGTAAACTTTAACAAGTCTTCGGTAAGTTCACCTGCAGCGGAGAGCAGAGTGGATGGCAGTGACCGGAGGAGGCAGGGAGGCTCGGGAGGAGGAGTGCAGTGGTTACCGCCCCCTCCTCCTCATACACACGCGCACACGTAACACGCGCCTCTTCCTCTTCTTCGAAGATCGTCGTAGTTTGTACGGTGGCCCGGTGGGTTCTGAATACCAAATCAAGACAAAACAAAAGACAAAAACACACAGTGTGTGTGTGTGTGTGTGTGTGTGTGTGTGTGTGTGTGTGTGTGTGTGTGTGTGTGTGTGTGTGTGTGTTTATTTAAGGATCCCCATTAGTCTTCACAATAGTGAAAACTATTCTTCCTGGGGTGACGTCCACTTGATGAAAGAAACAAAAACAAAGAAAACATATACAATATCACATAGACCGTGTAGGATTAAAAGTACAATATTTCATATACAATGTAAGAAAAACACAAGAATCTCCTATAGTCAACCTCGTAAAACAAAATCATAAAAAAAGACTAAAAAGTCAATTTAAAAATGGATCAATGAATCAATAAAACGATAAAAATAACAAAGTCTTAATGTCAGGGTGTTAATTCTATAAATCTAATTGAAGTCTATAAATCTAAAATCTATTAATCTAATTGAAATAGCTGTAACTGTTGTCTGATATTAGCTTATGTTTTACAAATTTCTTGAGATTCACTTTAAACGCATCATGAACATTTATTGTTTAGTTGAGGAGGCAGGAAATTCCAGCATGTGACTGCTCTGTAAATGACTGTTCTTTTAAGTGCATTGGTTCTTGGCAATGGAAGAGTAAAGCTAAAATCAGAGGCATTCCTTGTGTTAAAACCGTGCCGCTCACAGGTTGGTAACAACTTTGTAAACAAGCTAAAAGGTTTTGTAAAACCCAGATTTTGTGTAACGACACAACCAGGCTGCAGGCTAGTCTGTCATTTACACTCATCCATGACAGATGAAAATGCATCCAGTGGATATTAGTTTTAAACGGGCAACCAAGAACCAACCTCGCAGCTCTGTTCTGAGCTCTCTGAAGTTTGTCAAGGTCTGTCTTAGGCCTAGTGCCCACGTAGCCGGGTTTTTTTTTAACCTGGCTACGTGGGGACAGGGCCTTAGCTGCACTGGACCAAACAACTGAACAGTAATCCAGATGACACAAAAACAGAGACTGTGCAACAAGTTTTCAGGTCTCCAGTAACATATAATGAGAATTGCTCCTAATTACATAAATGCTCCACTCATTCTCTTTACAATATTATCAATATGTGTAGTCCATGACAGTGATTGATCCAATGTTATGCCCAGTAGTTTGGTCTCTTTTGCTTGTTCAATTTGTTGTCCCCGTAAATAGATGTCTAACTGGTGGTTTTTCTTACTAAATTCCTAGAGCCTAATAGCATACACTTGGTTTTTAATACATTCAGTTTTAGCTTATTTCCCTCTACCCACTCAGAGATAGACTTTAACTCCTGTTGAAGCATAATATTGACCTGAACTATACTTGAAGCTGAAAAAGATATGGTCGTATCATCCGCATATACAGTTGTGCGCTTCACTGCAAGCAAAAGACATATCATTTACAAATATACTGTATAATAAAGGACCCAAGCAACTCCCTTGGGCAATCCCACACAAAAGAGTGCCAGTGTTTGACAGACTACCATTAAATATAACACATTTTTTTCTATTAGTCATGTTCTACTGTCATAAAATTGATAGCAGTCTTGTTAAAACCATGTGCTGATAGTTTCAAAAGTCAAATGCCGTGATCCACAATATCAAAAGCAGCACTAAAATCCAGAAGCACTACTCCCACCAGCAGCTTCCTATCAATCTGTCCCAACCATTCATCAGTAAGAGTAGTCAGTGCCGTACTGGTAGAAAATCCTTCTCTGTAAGCATGTTGAACATCAGAGTAAATGCCATTCACACTAAAATAATGTTGAATCTGTTTAAACATCACTCCCTCCATCAATTTTCCCAGAACTGGTAAGATACTGATCGGCCTGCTATTTTGCCCTGTTAGTGGTTCTTTAGTATTTTTAGACAGAGGCATAACTTTTGAGATCTTCCATCTATCAGGATAGAGACACTCATCAAAGCATAAATGAAAAACGTGACATAGAGGTTTGGCTAACAATTTTGCTACAATCTTTAAAAGCCTTCCATCCATGTTATCAATTCCACAAGGTTTGTCACAATTTATATTTATTAGCAACTTTTCCATTTTACCTTCCTCTACATGTTTAAACAAAAACTGGCATTCTTTGTCATGCATTATTTTATTCTTAATTATCGTTTCTGATAGTTGTTTACACGCAACAGGCATCTCATCCCTAATTGCTCTCACCTTGCCTAAGTAGGAATCATTAAAATAGCTTGCAATTTCAAACGGTTTAGTTATAAATGTCCCGTCCACTTCAATGAATGATGCTGTATTTCTTGTTTTGCTTCTACCCATAAGTTCATTTATGGTTCTCCATAATTGTTTGCCATTGTTACCATACTGCTGAAATGTATTCTGATAATAATGTTTTTTCTTTTGCCTGTTTAACCTTGTTACCATATTCCTTAGTGTCCTATAAGCTTCCCAGTCTTCAGGCCTGCCTGAAACTACAGCCACCTTTTTTTTCCATCTCTGATTTTCATACTCTGTTTTAATTCAATATCCAACCAGGTGTCATGAACTCCTCCTCTTAACCTCCTCTGTGGGCCTGGCTGGCACTGCATTCCAAGTCCCAGCATCCCTGTCACCGACGCTTCCCGGTGACGTCATCCCGCTGAGCCTATTTAAGGACCTGTCACAGCTGAGCCGGCACTCAGTCATCATCTCATGATAGACGCCAACCCATTCTAAGACAACTAAGCCTAATTTGCCAACTCTGAAAACCATCCAGGAAGAGAACTTCCCACACTGTAAACAGTTTCGACACCAAACACCAGTCTCTCCGCGCCTGGGTCTCAAAGCCTCACTCCAGCTCAGCCGATCGCTCCTGACACCAGGGTGATATTTTAAGTCTCACAGATCCTCTCCTTATTGGAGCATGTTTATCACAAATTGCTGAAAAATTTTACAAAAAAGTTATCTAGAGCTAACTGCATTTGTACGTTGCAGTACCTCACCCCAGTGAATATTCTCCCCATCACTAATAAAGTTGCCCTCAGAGAAAGATTTCTACATTCTCCTCCAAAATGCCTTTGGCCCAACTTTTGGAATTTTTGTTTTATTTACCAGGGCAATAATATTGTGATCCCTGAAACCAACTGGTACCGATGTGATATTAAAACATTTTTCAATAGTTTGTGTAAATGTGATCCATACATGTTGATGTTGTTAACCTGTCCTGATTGATTTTAATTCTAGTTTGCAAATTTACTACCTGAACAAGGTTACAGACAGCAGCTGTATCCACCAGAATGTTCTTCATAGAGCAATTATCAGAAAACCAATCAATGTTCATATCTCCAAGTATAAACAGCTCACTATTCATATCCGAGGCCTTTTGAAACATTGTGCATACATTATTTAAATATTCAGTATTTGAACTCGGTGGTCTGTAACAACAACATGCCAGTATGGGGTTGTGATGTGGAATGTGTACCTGAATCCACAATCCTTCAATGCCAGACATGCCAAGATCATTTCTCATTCTAATTCCATGCTGTAGTTCTTTTTTAAAACACAGAACAGTTTTGTTACCTGTTTTCCCGCGCACGGGGCACCTGGCATTTCTCATTCTAACCGGAATCTCACTCTGGATGTAAAATGCAGTACCCCCCACCATATTTGTTTCTGTCAAACCTATACAAATTATACCCTTTTATGGCTGCAGTCGAATCCTCTACAGCCTCCTCCAAATGTGTTTCTGTAACCGCCATTATATGGATAGCTGTTCCAGACAAGATGGAACTTAACTCAGTAATCTTATTTTTCAAACTACAAATGTTCAAATGAACAAATTTTAGTTCCTTCATCCCTGAACTACCCACTGTACATTTTTAATAGCCATACGTTAGAAACTACTTATGCAGCACAAATACACAACAATATGAAACTTAGCTTAGCTTTTCCAGATCCTCCATACTCCGAATGCATAGGACTTTAGCTTCCTCTTGCCTACCATTCATCTTGATATAAACCCTGCAATTGGAAGTCCATGTAGCCTGAATCTTCCCTTGTTTTTTTAAATACTTCGCCTTCCTTGCCAAGTCTGCATTCATTTTTGAAAGGTGTTCATTCATATAAACCTGTGTCCCTTTCAGATTCTTGCCTTGTCTGAGTAAATCAGTTTTCTTCTTCCTGTTGTAGAAGCCATCGTAGAAGCGCAGAATAATCACTCGTCCAACCTTCTGATTTGTAGATTGTATTGTATGACAAGCTTCAATACTATTTCTATCTATCTGGATGTTCTTACTTTGTAGCTATCCCACAGCTTGGGCCTCAGCCGTATTGTCCAGCTCAGTATTCCCTCCTTCCCTCTGTTCCCCTTTCAAGGCCTGGGGAATGATGATTTCAGTGATAGCCCAGAGATTACCACTTCATTCATTCGGGTGTAATGCTCCAAGTCTGAAACCCTGGTCTCCAGAAAGTTCATTCTGCTTTGCTGCTCCTCATTTATTTTTTTAAGTGCCTTAATTTCATTTACCAGACCCATAACGGTACACTGCTGTTTCGATATTGTCCCCAGCTGCTCACCCATCATGTTCATGGCAGCTTTCAGTTCCTCATATCCTTCTTTACCTCCTTGGTCACCATGATTGTAAAAGAGCTTCAAAAGAGCTCCAGTTTCTGGCCTCAGATGGATGATGGTTCCTTGAGTCATACCTTAGTAGCTGATAATGAAACCTGGGCCTAAATGTACAGTTTTAGCTTGTTGGCCAGGCTTTGTGGCTGGTTCTTAAGTTTGGACCAGGCTTGGCAGCTTGTTGCCTGTAAGCCAGCCCTGGAGACTGACGTCGAAGGATGGATCCTGGACCAGGCCTGGTGGCCGGTGCTGGAGGCCGGAACCTGCCTGGGCCGGGCGTGGCAGCTGAACCAGGATCAGGTGTTGAGGCTGTAGCCTGGGCCTGGCCTGGTGGTGCATTTCAG